GTTGAACAAAACGATTTGTCAATTCTCATTTTCCTCTGTTAGCATCCATAGGAAAACTAGGGAAAAAAGTGGGTGGCGCCTCACCCTTATGGAGAAGTCCAGCTGCATCAAAACCTTGGAACCCCAAAGGGCTCCTTACCCATGCGCATTGGATAGGAAAATTTCACCGAATAGGATTGAGTGAAAAAAAGTAAAGAAAATGGAAGAAGGAGGTTAGACAAAATTAGGGGTTCTTTGTGCCTATAAAAGGAAGCCTTTTCTATCCAGCAAAATCATCATTGAGGGCCTGACCAAGCTTTGTCAAGCAACTGAGAATTTACTCAAGCCACCCAATCTTCTTCTTCGGTTGTTTTCTTCTTCCTCTGAGATAGCAACCTTCTTAATTTTCATCTGCCCCATTTAAGTCTTTGTTCTCTTTAACGAAACTCATGCCTCTCTCTCTCTCTCTCTCTCTCTCTCAAATTGCTAAACTTGTGAAAGCTTAGCTCCTATGTCACAAGCTCCTCAAGCTAGGCCACTAATCGATTCATCATGTTTATTTGGCTATTGGTGAAAAGAACCTAAGAGTGTTTTTCTAAAGTTTCATCAAACTTTTCAAAAACTCTTTTGGGAGCTTGGTCCTCGAACCAAGACATTTGGGGAATTTTGTTTGTTTTTCTTCTTACGGCAACCCAAGCAGAAGCGGTCCTATAGCCAGGGCAGGGTAGGCTACCGCCTACCCAAAAAAATTTCACTAAAAAAAAACTATATATAAGCAAAGTAATTGATACCCATTACATGTGATGGTATAAACCCTTGCCTACCTAGCCCATGTAAAACCCACACCACATGTGTTAAAGCCGACTCAAACTTTAAAAAAAAGAGAAAAAATTATAACCAGCCCATGTTATGGAATGGCCCAGTCAGACTTTAATAAAGGGGGGAATATAACTTATAAGCAGCCAAATAGTGGCTGTGCAATTCCAGACAGAGTTGGCAGCTTCTTCTCAACTCAACAATCTTGGCTGTGGAATAGTCAAGCTGTGCAATCGTGGACAATCCCTTCTCTTCTCATATACAAGGAAACAAGTATTCTTCTTAATCTCTTCTCTTTAATTATCTTTTTCTATTGGGTTATTCCTAAAATAAATGTATGAGTTGGGGATCTCACTTTGCCTCTATTGCAAGTTTAATGAGTTTATTTAAAGAGACTAAAATATCAGGAAATCAGTGAACATGGACCTAACCAACAATTTCGTGGTGATGCAGAGAGTAACTATATTGCTATGATGTCTTTTGAGTTTGTGTTTGCATTGCTTTTGATGGATAAAATTATGGGATTGACCAACTTTCTCTGTCAAGTGTTTCAGAAAAAAACTCAAGATATTGTAAGTGCTTTAAACTTGGTTGAAAACACAAAATCACAGTTCCAAGATATGAGGGCACATGGTTGGGATGATTTATTCATGAGTGTGGTACAATATTGTGAACAACATGGTATTGATGTTCCTGATATGAGTTCTCGTTATATGATGGGCACACGTCGTTCTTGTCAACAAAAAGATTTTATTACAGTTGAACATTAATATCACATTGATGTATTTAATGATGTGATAGATTGCATGTTGAGGGAGTTAAATGACAGATTTCCAGAGCAAACAGTTGAACTTCTTATTCTTAGCTCAACATTGGATCCTCGTAATTCCTTCAAATCATTCAATATTGGGCATCTATGTAAACTTGCTGAGAAATTCTATCATACTAATGTTAGTCCAAGTGACTTAAAAGGTTTGGAAATTGAGTTGAGGTATTTTCAAAATGATATGCATCACCTTCCCTGCTTTAAGGACCTCACCACTCTTCCTCAGTTATGTCAACAATTGGTGGAAACAACTTTGGCAAAAAATTATCATTTACTTTACAGGTTGATTCAGTTGGTGTTGACTCTTCTTGTTTCTACAGCAACAACGGAACAAGCTTTTTCATGTATGAGAATTATTAAGAATAGACTTCGAAGCACCATAGCTGATGAATTCCTTGCTGATTGCATGATTCTCCACATTAAAAGAGAGTTTGCTAATAGTATCAATAATGAAGAGATAATTGAGGAATTTAAGATTTCTAAGCCTCGTAGGATACAATTTTAGATTAAAATAGTTTAGTTTTTGTGTTGCATTGCATTTTTTTTTTTTGTTTTTTTTTTTTTTTATTTATTTTATTTATGTATATGTATATATTGAGGGTAAGGCTCATTATGTCCCCCTTGACTAGGTGTATCTTTTTATTTTTATGAATAAAATTCACTCGTACCGTCGAGTTTTAAGGTAAGTTTCGCCTACCTGACTTTTGAATCATGGATCCGCCATGGAGCCCAAGCCCATTCGTCAGGTTGCTGGAACAAAAAGACCCCTACAAAATTGAAACAAGGAGAAGAAAACCCAAATGTGAAGGAGAAAAGCAAAGATGGCTACCTGAGACGCCATGCATGGAGGTCGAAAAAGGTGATAGAGAGTGAGAGATAGAGGTGGAAAGGGTGAGGTCGTTGTCGACGATGTGGGTGTGAGTGAAAGAGAGAAGAGAGGAGAGAAGGGCTAAGAGAGTGAGACTGAGAAATTGTTAAAGAGGATTTGGGAGAGCTCAGAACGACTAAAAGTGAAAGAGGGGAAGAAGGAAGAAGAGGAAGAGGAAGAGAGACTAGAGAGATGAGAGCATTTCAGAGAGCAATGACTCAGAAGAAAAAAAAAACTAAGTGAATGATGGGCAATAAGCTATCAATATGGAGTTTTTATAAGGGGCATTTGTGATTAGGTTTCAAAATAAGAATATTAGTGAATAAATTAAGTGAGCCATGGGTAAAGCTGCCAATTTCCCATTAAAAATTGGTTTGGTATGAAAGGCTTGAAGTGTGAGATCTAGGCCTTCGTTGAGGGACTATTGCTGCCAGGCCCATAACAAAATCTCCAAGAATTGTTGTCATCCCCATCCTACTCGTGTTTTTCATACTGCTAAGCGTGTGGGCATGAGTTTTTACAGAGCTAATGTCAAGGGCATGGGTCAGACAAAGGGGAGGGGCTTGCTACAACCTTAACTTTGATAGTTTTGTGATTGTATCTCATCAAAACATTGTTGGATGGACTAAAGTTTGCTGCTAAGAGGAAGAGTTAGGAGGATCAAAATACTGGGGACACTGATATGAACAAGAGGAGGGAATGGCACTTTGAAAACTAGTATTTTTGGATTCATTTGGCAACTAGAGAGACAAGCGCGTATCTCACAGAATATGCCGCTTGAAACAAAAGCATGGCAGACGATATGATATGGTAATCAGGTTCATCCAAAAGAATAGATATGGTATGTTGGGCCACCCTCTTTGGGCGATTTTTTTTTTTTTTTTTTTTTTTTTGTGGGGGGGTGCAATTTTTGAGTCTTATCATTGAAATAGAAAATGTGTTTCACAAATATCATCATAACGCTATTTTTTTTTTTGGGTAACATGAAGTAGAAATTGAACCATTAGGGGAGGTTGTTAACTTTTTTTTGCATGTTGATAACGTTTCCCAATATATAAACACACTCGACACAAAATTAACATGTTTGAGTTGATCATTACTTGCACGAATAATACGACATGACTTACTTACACATGGTAAACATGTCGGACTAGTGTCAAGTATTAACCTAGATTTTGATACGTTAAACTCATTTAATTAGTATTATATATGTAAAATGACTAGGTTTCTTTGTTGTTAATATGTCTTTAATGAATCATTATCCAATTATAAAATTATTTATAGTTCTATTAGTATCTTCGTCAAGTACATTTTTCCTTTGTAATGCATAGACGATGAGTTTGGCTAAGCAAAGAAAAAGAAAAGGTAAAACTATTCACTCTCGTGAATGGGCAGTCTGCAGGCTTTACTGGTGCTTTTTCTGAGCAGAAACTTAACTGAGGAAAAAATTTTAGTTATAATAGGAATAACACTATTTTGTTATTTTCGACTAATAATATTATATCACGTAAAAGAATTATCATATATGTCATAATAAGATTATTGATCGAAAAAGAGAAGTCTTTCCCCCTTTGATTCAGACGTCGTACTGTTTTATCCTCTTTTTTCAAAAAAGACGTCGATTGTTGGGTCCCACCGTTTTGATGAAATAGTTTGACGGCTTGAGTGGTTCAACATCAGCTAACTGCTGACCCACATTTCCCAAGGACCAAGTGTGGCTCACGAGTCGTGCCTCTATTTATCCCTAATCTCTATCCACTCAATATTACAGGTGTGGCTCAAAAGGCTAAATTATATTTTTGGTTTTTGTAGATAATACCAATTTATGAGACGTTTAGGCGTTCCTTCTATTTTGCATATTCTTGAAGGGAAATGTAATATAGTTGCTTATGTATTGGCTCGTTTTGTTTTGAGACAAAGGAAAATATAAAATAAAAGAAAAAAGAGAAAAGAAACTGGCATAAGAAAATAACATGATCAACAACTCATTATGCTAAAAAAATATTTCTATGTATAGATTTAATCATAATTTGCTATTGATCCAAAACTTCTAGTCGATAGATTTATGAATTCATAATTTATAAGAATAAGGGAACAAGAGGAATTTTAATACAATTAGATGAACAAAAGAAAGAAGTTACGGAACTGCTTTGAGTTCTACTTTCAGAATTATTTGATTCATTTCAATGAATAACATTATGTATTTATACAAGGTTTGGTTGCTAAAATTAATTAAACTAAAATAGTAAATTATTTTAAGCCATAAATAATGAATGGCCTAAAATCTCACTCATTTAAAACCATCAACTTTTTATGGTTTATAACAATTCATTATAAACCATTAGTTTTTATGGTTTCAAATAATTTAATAATATAATTATAATAAAATTGTATTGTATTATATTTATTTTTGTTGGTAGATCCTCCTAGATCATGGCTCCCCCATTTAAGATGCTTGAGCTCCTGGTCAAGCTAAATTGTGAGATGAGGTAACTCTGTTATTGCCTTATCTCAAATGTACCATTTCGACTTTCTAGGAAGTTGACTTTTTCTGCCGATACAGAAATACTCATACTTTCCATGTCGAGTCTCACGAACCTTCTGTTCCATGATACAATCCTCCTGCAAAGGATCTTCTCGTTCAATCTTTAAGTCATTAACTGATGGAAGGCATGTGTCTTCGTCGAGATCATCATCAAGTAGAGATGGCTCAAAAAGTTTAAGATTCTCGGCATTGATGATCGAGTACATATGCATGTATGGTGGTAATTCAAGTTGAAAGGCATTATCACCAATTTTTTTGATGATCTTGAACAATCCATAACGAATAGCCTTCAGTTTCTTGCTTTCACCGATTAGCCTCTCATTTCCAAGGTGTAACCATACTAGGTCACTTTCTTTGAAGTTACATGGCACATGATGCTTATCATGGCGAGCTTTATATCGTTGCTGAGAACGTTTCAGTTGTGCCTCCATTTCAGTATGAATCTTTCTGACTCGTTCGAGAAATTTTTGTGGTCGAGTCACCTTATTTGAAGTTACATGGTACATGATGCTTATCATGGCGAGCTTTATATCGTTGTTGAGAACGTTTTAGTTGTGCCTTCATTTCAGTATGAATCTTTTTGACTCGTTCGAGAAATTTTTGTGCTCGAATATGTTCTTCTTCTTCTTCTTCTTTCCCACTTAATGGCTGGTCACTCATAGTGAATGTTAAATAAAAAGGACTTTGGGGTATATAACCCAAACAAACCTCAAATGGAGATTTGAGTGTGGAGCCATGAATTGCTCGGTTAAAAGCAAACTGTAAGTAAGGGAAACTTTTATCCCAAGTCTTCGGATGCTTGGAATTGTAACCCATCAATAAGTGTATCATAGTTCGGTTTACTACCTCCGTTTGCCCGTCTGTCTGTGGGTGAAATACAGTGCTTCTTTTCAATATGCTATCCATCATTCCCCATAACTACCTCTATAAATGGCCTAAGAATTGATTGTCTCTATCAGAAATAATAAACCAAATGCTTCCAAACATGTTGGAAAAATAACTTAGCAGCTCCTTCTCCAGTAATGGTCTTCTTGCATGGAATGAGAATCATCATCTTATTGAAACGATCTACCACCATAAACAAGTAGTTGTTTCCAGACTTGGTTTTAGGCAATCAACTAAGAAATCCATCGAGATACTCTCCCAAGGTCGGCTAGGTACTGGTAATGGAAGGCTTCGATGTGTTACATAGAACACAACCTCGAATGTATTGTGAAACATCGAGATGCATCTTTGGCCAATAAACATAGCGACGAAGATTCAATAAAGTCTTCTCAACTCCAAAATGTCATGCTACTTTGGAAGTATGAGCCTCACGAATCAACTGCAGTCTATCTTTATCTTCTGGAATGCACAATTGTGTTCCCTTGTACATTAGTCCATCTTTCAATTGGAACTCACTAGTTTTTCCTTGTTGCAACTCGACATAGGCTGAGTTGAAATCAACATATGTGTCGTACCATTTGGCATATTTAGAAGGAATAATGGGTTGGATTTGCATAGCTACCAGCAATGCAGAACTCACTAGTATGGGTGGTCTAGATAACATATCTGCTAACTTATTAGTTGCCCCCTTCTTGTACTTTATCACAATATTGAATTGTTGTAAGTAAGACATCCATTTCAAATGGCGAGCTTTTTGTAACTTAGACTGTGTAGTTAAAAATTGAAGAGGTTTATGATCTGAGTGAACTACGATTTCTTTTCCCAATAAGTAAGCTCTCCAATGCTTCACTGCTTGATGCATTGCATACAGCTCCTTGTCATTAGTCGTATAGTTCAATATCGGTCCACTAAACATCTCAGAATAGTATGCAACTGGCTTCCCATCCTAAAATAATACGGCCCCCATGACATAGTTCAATGCATCTGCTTCCACTTCAAATGGTTTCTGCAGATTCTGTAATGCTAGTACTAGGGCCTCTATAATCTATCATTTCAACAACTGGAAAGATTCTTCATGGTTTCTTGACCATTCAAACTTTTTATTGGCCTATGTAAAAGAATGTAAGGGTGTTGCAATTTGTGAAAAGTGTTGAATAAACTTCCGCAAGTACTAACATGCACCTATAAAACTCCTAACTTCAATTACTGAAGGGCGTAGGCCATTGAGAAATCACATGTACTTTCTCTAGGTCCATTTTCAGTTCTCCTGCACCAACAATGAATCCCAGGTATACAAGGTGTTGTTTCCCAAATTCACACTTCTTACTATTTAACTGTAACTGATTTGTTTGTAAAACCTCTAAAACTTAAGCAATATGATGAAGATGGTCTCCCCATGTGACTCTAAATATGAGAATGTCATCTAAGTATACAATGACGAAGTTGTTAATGAAAGGGTGGAGCACCTCATTCATCAATCGTATGAAGGTAGTTGGAGCATTACATAACCCAACATGAAGGGGGCGCTGACAAGAAGACAACTAATAAAGGGGGCGCCTAGCATGTCCAAAGCTGGAGGAAGCCACTGTCGGGTTATTTGAAGATGAATATGGATGGGGCTTGGACTCCAGGAAATTCAGAAAGGGGCATGGGCGTTGTGGTGAGAGATTCTTTCGGCACCTTTGTGGCTGGGTAGGCCATCTATTGTGATGACCTCTCTTTTGCCCTTCATATTAAGGCCATCGCAACTAGGTCAAGTGTAGCATTGGCAGTGGAAAGGGGATTTACTAATATTATTTTTTAGAATGATTCTCTCCTGATAGTCTCAGCACTTCGTCATTCTTCGGTTGATATGTCCATAGTTGGACCAATTGTGGAGGATACGAAGTCGCTGTGAGTCAGATCACTGAGGATGGTTTTACCCATATATGTCATACTGCAAACGAGGTGGCTCATCGTATAGCACACTTTGCTTCACACATTGGATCAACTACTAGTTTGAAGAACTAACAGATTTAATTATCAATGCTTTGTACAAGGATTCTAACAAGTAATTTTTTCATGGGTATGATCTTAGGGGGACCGGGGCCCGCTCTAACATTGGCAAGGTTCCTTTTCCTGCTTGCGGTTGAGAAGGTAGGCTACCTTGGTAGTTTGACGACCACTACGCCCTTATGTGTGGAGATGCTCACCTAATCTTTTAGGACATAGCCTTATTTTTTTGTACTTGTTTTCATCCTGCATTATTAATAAAATTCTATCGCTTTCGAATACAATAAATAAATAAATAATAATATTGCATTAAATACAGTCTTTATATATATATATTATTTAGTTCATATTTCTACATGGGTATAAGTTATAACTAGTCACTCTTTGACTTCATCTAAACTTTGGGTCTGTAGTCTTTTGATTTTGATTGTGAACTCAATTTACTTGGACCTTTTGGGCTTGCGTGCACTCAGGGTTCTAAATTTTGTTAGTCATTTAGTTTCCGCATTAAAAAAAAAGTTATAACTGAAAAATTATATAAAAATTTGTTAGGGTAAATTACTCAAATGGTCCTCAAACTTGTACGCGATTTACATTTTGGTCCCTCAATTAAATTATTAGTCCAAATGGTACATAAACTCTATTTTAATCGCCCATTTGATCCAACCGTCTAATTTTCTGTTAAACATAACCAAATTTTAGGGTAAATACGACTTTTCATAATTAACAAATAAAATAGGTTAAAACAAATAAAAAATTAGAAAATAATTGAAGAAAAAAAGAAAAAATAATAATGAGACCCAACCCCCCCCTTCGATTTCTTCTCCCTCATTCCCACAGACCTTGGGGTATCGTATAGCTCCTAGGAGCTCGGCCCAGATGGTATTTCGGTTATCCAAGGTCTCATTCATATACTTTCTCAACCCCATTGCATCCATTCGCTCACAAAATGCCACCAACTCTGGCCAAGGAGGAACTGAATCCAACTGAAGACTCGTACCAAGCTCAACCGTGTTCTGGGTCGGAGGGTTTGATGAAGAAGGGTCCTTTACCATCTGGGTCGACGAAATTGATGAAGAAGGTGGGTTCTTTGTTATTTGGGTTGGTGTTTTGGTGTCTTCCATTATCTTGGCCAATGTCAATGATGACAAAGACGGGTCTTTTGCTATATGTGTCGATAAATTCGACGAAGAAGACGAGTCCTTTGGTATCTGATATGAAAAAGAAGAAGGGTCTTGTGGTTTCTGAGATGGAGGGTTTGATGAATAGGGTTCTTGGGGGTATAGAAGAAGAAGGATTTGAGGATTGGGACTCGAGGGTTTGAAGGAGCTGGAGTTTTTGGTTAAGGGAGTCTTGGATGGAGGTGAAGTGGGAATCGAGGTCAGACCAGGTGAGATTGAAGGAGGAGAGGACGTTTTAGTGGGCTTGAAGCTCATCGAAGGTGCAAAAATTGGAAATGCAACACTTCTGGAGCATCTGGTTTTAAGTGCAGTTGTTGGAATTCCAGTTCTTGGTGCCACTCTGATGGGTTGTGGAAAAAGAGAGAGAGAGAGAGAGAGAGAGAGAGAGAGAGAGAGAGAGTTTTTATTTCATTTTTCAATATTTATTTATTTATTTTTAACATACGAAATGACCAATTTGCCCTCATATTTAACAGCAACATTGACAGAATGTAATAGTAGGACCAATAGAGCGATTAATATAGAGTTTATGTACCATTTGGACTAATAATTTAATTGAGGGACCAAAATGTAAATCGAGTACAAGTTTGAGAACCATTTGAGTAATTTATCCAAATTTGTTATGAGTCATATTTCTACATGGGTATAGTTCATATTTCATAACTCACATATGCATGAACCACGTATTAAAAATTCATAAACTTAACCTAACTTTCATAATCATTAATGAATCACACTCGCATGCATAATGGTCAACTCTAAATTATATTTCAACCAAACCAAAAAAAGAAAATAAAGATAGTAATAGCACTTAGCAATTATATTTTCGTCCTGTAAAACAAGCTTATGCATTATTCTTCTTGAATTATATCCTCTTTCTCTCTCTTCCTCGTGTAAGGGAGTGATTAGTGAGAGAGAGAAGGATGGGTGTTCGTGTTCCCATAAAATAATTCAAAAGAAAAGCACGTGCAAATCTTGTGGTTGATTTTCTTTGAAAAGCTAATCATAGGTCTGGAGAAGGACACGTGGTGTCTTGCTAGAGGAAGTGAGTAAAAGTGATTGAAGGAGACTATGACGTGTGGGATGAAGTGGCGCTTCACAAAAGCAAGTTGGCTTAGGACTTTCTAGGCTGCGTTTGACCGTAGGTGATTCGTCGGTCCTCGGTCTCCTTTACTTCCACGGAAGAAGGAATCATTCATCTACCTTTGTTTGGTACTTCTTCACTGTTTATGGTCATGTAACCCATTACGTATGAAAAATTCGTTTTATTTATTTATTTATTTTTAGTGTACAACTCTGAAAACGACATAATTATATTCTTAATTCAGACTAAAGCTAGCTGTATTAACATCCAATTAATTCTCTTAGCCAACTAAAGAGATGATAACTGGAAAAGGAAGAAAAAAGGAAAGTAGAATAAATGCTCTTAATTATTATATTTACAAATGTTAACGATAGCTTACAAAATGAATAACTTTTCTTTATAACTTTAATTTTTGACGTTGTGGTACTAATTCATGTGTTTCAAAATGAGTGTTTGAGAAGTTTATACTTTTAAATATAGTAATAAGACATATTCACCGCTATGTAAGCGTATCAATGATATCATGTGCATGTATTATAATCAGTGGCAGAATCACGTTGGGCAAGATAGTCAATTGACTTCAAAGGAATGGAAAACGCCATGGAAGGCGAGAGGTTTGGTCCATTTCATCAAGCAAGTGGTTGACCCATTTCTTGGGTTGACACCGCTTGCGTTTTGTGGAATCGGGCAAGACGACACCGTTTTGGGCTAGGTCACGTAAATTTTTTAGCCCCAAAGCAGATCTCTTCCCACCCATTTTCGAACTCGATATTAACAACCCTCAACCAATTAAACTTTTATTTCTTTTATTTAAGTTACATCTCAATATCATTGAAATAAGGTAGTATTTTCCTTCTAAAATTTATAATAAATTCAAAAAAATTTCGCACAAATAATAGATGGGGATTGAGACGTTTGTTTTCCATTTATCAATATTACGATTAATGTTTGTTTCTCTTTTGGTACGGAAGCACGAAAGAATGTAAATGGAAAAAAAAACGTTAACCTTATGATTGATAAACTGAAATTCACCAAAAAAAGAGACAAAATATCATTGACTTTATTATAGGCTCATGAGTTGTTTAAAGGTTTTGGTTTTGTGGGATGAATAATCTATTCTTACCACATTTGTATACTACATCCCTATACCATCTTATGTGGCAGCTGAGGTGGACAGCCACGTCAATTAAAATTATTTAATATTTTATTTTCTTTTATGATTTATTCTATTATTTATTTTTTAATTGTCTTAATTAAAATACACTTCATTGATTTAATTGATGTGTCATATAATATGAACATGCCACATCATGTGGTATAGAAATGTGGGATAAAAATGTGGTAAGTATAGCATTACTCTTGTGGGATTGAGTTGGGATCATGCTTAGTTTTATTGAAGTCGACTTTATAGTAGTTTGTGTGGCTTTTATCCGTTTTTATTTTGTCTTTTTGAGGTTGTTGGTTTTGTTGTCTTTACGAGTTTGGTTTTTTTTTTTGGATGTGTTGGCTGAAGTTATAAAACTTATCTAATGAATTTGCAATTTTGATAAAGAAAAAAGAAGTTACAGATAATAAAATGGGTAGGTCCATGATATTCGCATATGCATATGAATCGTTTCAAGCTAAATTTGTTTACCCAAAAAAAAAGAAAAAAGAATCGTCCCTCAATGTTGTTGTTGCGGTATTTTTTTGTTTTTGTTTTTGTTGTTTTGATATCTTTTACGGAAAATTAGACCAAATCATATGAATAGGTCTTGTTGCAATTCGCCACCTGTAAAAAATTGTGTCAATTTGTTAATTCAATTAGCATTTAATTGTAACATGGTAATTTTTTATTTTTTTTTGGTTCAAAACATTATATAGGATTTGTTGTACAAATGGGCTCAATAATAGTCCATTATCTATCCAAACCATGCACCAATATTGTTCCCATCTTAAACACTTAGGAGAGATAGACTTCTAGGTGTGGAGTTTTATCACAAAAGGCTTCAATGCAATTAGGAGTGGATCACTTATATTTGAACTGTAGATTATTGTTGTATTCTCTGATGTGAGACTTACACATCATGACTTGTATCGAGCCACCTACACTACACCAACAATCTTCATCTTTGTGAGATTCAAGCCAAGGTAACCATCTCGCCAAGGTAACCATCCTGCCGACAATACCTGTACTTTTTAGAGTGAGCCCCCACCTCAGCGAGATCCAAACCAAGGTTACCGGTCCATTCACAACACCTATACTTTTCAAGAGTGAGCCCCTGCAACTCCTCCTCTTCCGACAATGATTTTCTTGAGCCTCGTTAGGAGCCCTTGTTCCACCTAGTTAACTACCGCAAGGATTTCCTTAAGTCATAAACCCTAAATTAATGGAAGATGAGAGTAGAATAGGAAAAAGAAAGAACAAAGAGAACAAAATTGATTTAAAAGTATTAAAAAGCAAAAGGGAGTGTAAGTGGAATAAAATAGGAGTGGGAAAATCAAAATTTTTTTTTCTTTTCAAAATATAACTTGGACAAAACCAAAATGAAAAAGTAATGACCCGCTACATAGATGTATGTGAGATTGCAAGCCATACACCGTACACGAATGACCTAACGTGTTCCCGCAGAGATAGTGACTCTATAAATTATAGAGGAAGCTGCCTTGAGACCAGGCCTTCTCCACGGAGCCTCCACACAATCCAGTTCTATCTTTCATTTTGATTTATCTGTTTATTATATTTCTTCCAACTTTCCCGAGAAAATCTCTGATTTTCCATGAAAAGTCTGGCCGTAGCTCGAAGCCTATATAAGGCTTCCCCTTTTCTCTCCACCCAGAAACTTCTCTCACCCAACTCCTCTGTCCACACAAATTTTCAATTCCTTTCACCCATTTCCTCACTTCCCAAACAGCAAGCAATCCTGAATCCCATGGCTGCTTGTATTGACACTTCAAGAACTGGCTCACCCCAAAACAAGCCACTTTCTCGGGATCCAAACAGGTCCAAAACGGACGAAGATCCGTACCAGTTCATGAGATTCTGCCGTGTCAATTTCTCAGATCAAGTTTCTTGCCTACCCATTTGCCAGAATCGCACAAAAACCACACATACACGCAGAATCCTGGACGATCTTGAGCAAGATGAAGACAAGGACGATGGGCTATGGCTGCAAATGCAAGATGAAGCTCGGGCAGATATTAATCAAGAACCCATGTTGTCAAGTTTCATTTACGCTTCAATTTTGGCACATGCATCTCTAGAAAGTGCCTTAGCCAATCATCTGTCTGTCAAACTGAGCAATTCTAGTCTCTCTCTTGGTACTCTAGTTGATATTTTCATGGGGGTGCTCACAGAGGATCAAGAAGTCATCAAGGCCGTGAAGGATGATCTAAGGGCAGTGAAAGAGAGGGACCCAGCTTGCGTAAGCTATACTCACTGTTTCTTGAATTTCAAAGGCTTCCTTGCATGCCAATCGCATAGGATTGCACATAAATTGTGGTCACAGGGCAGGACGGTCTTGGCCTTGTTGATCCAGAACAGGGTATCTGAGGTTTTTGCGGTGGATATTCATCCCGGGGCGAAAATCGGACATGGGATTTTGCTCGATCACGCTACCGGAGTTGTTGTCGGTGAGACGGCGGTGATCGGAAACAATGTGTCAATTTTGCACAATGTGACCTTGGGAGGGACTGGAAAGGCCTCAGGGGACAGGCACCCAAAGATTGGTGATGGGGTGCTTATTGGGGCAGGGACTTGTATTTTGGGCAACATCAAAATTGGTGAAGGGGCAAAGATTGGGGCTTGTTCTGTGGTTCTAAAGGAAGTGCCTCCAAGGACTACTGCAGTTGGGAACCCAGCTAGGCTGCTTGGAGGGAAAGAAAATCCAATCAAGCATGACAAGATTCCTAGCTACACCATGGACCATACTTACAACATGTCTGAGTGGTCTGATTATGTTATTTAGAGGCCTGTTTCTTCTCGTTTTAGGTTGTTGGGCCTGTTGAATTTTCAATTAGTTGGATTTGTGTATTTGCTTGGGGGCTTGTTTCTGTTTGTGCTTTAAGTGAGAACTCAAGTTCTCCTAATAAGCAAACAGAGTCCCTTGAAGCTGGTAAGTTATGTTGAAGCAGCTGTTGGTTTGTGTTGCTGGCCTTGTTGTGATTTATGTACTGTTTGTATCATGTTAAGATGTTGAGACTTTTATCTGTTATGGATATGAAGGTTTGAAGTAGTATTTTTACTTGTGAATCTGTGATGGCTGGTTTTATCCTTACAAAAACATCTGTGTTTTATAGATATAACAACAACATCTGTGTTTTAATAAATCAGTGACGCACGAAAGAGGAATGTGATTTGTCAATTCCCAGTAAAAGACTAACATTCAGAAAGAATATGTTTTAAGTAACCAAATGTTTTGGCCTTAAGTATGCAAGTGGCCAAGAGATGAGAAGGAGCTACAAGTTCCTCCTTTCTCTACATTTTCTACATGGAGATTCAATTTCCCTCTGAATCTTCCCTACCCTCTTCGCCATCTTCCTCTTTATCTTCATGATATTGAAGAAATGCAAGAGACACAGCACCAAGAATTCCAATTTAAAGCTACCTCCAGGGACATGGAAACTTCCTATAATTGGAAATATGCACCAACTTGATGGTTCTCTACCCCATCACACCTTGAGAGACTTGGCTGAGATCTATGGACCCCTTATGCACTTGCAATTGGGAGAAGTTTCAGCTGTTGTGGTCTCTGCACCAGAAGCTGCCAAGGAGATTATGAGAACTCATGACAGCACCTTTTCTTACAGGCCGCTCCTCCTTGCTCCGGATATCATCTCTTATGGTGGTTATGGCATTGCTTTTGCACCTTATGGTGATTACTGGAGACAGATGAGGAAAATGCGGATCTGTGCTGCTAAACTCGAAACGGGTAGACTCATTCCAATCAATCAGGGATGAAGAGGTATCTGATTTCCTCAAATTTATTTCTTCAAACATCGGATCGCCTATAAACCTTGGCGAGAAAATCTTTTCCATGACATATGGCATTACTGCTAGAGTGGCCTTTGATAACAAATGCAAAGACCAGGTCCAAGCAGAGCTCATAACAGCTGTCAGGGAAGGTGCAGAGGCAACTGGAGGTTTCAAGGTTGCAGATGTATTCTCTTCTATAAAAATACTTCAAGTGATCAGTGGGATTGAGGCCTAAACTTAAGAAGATTCATAGGAAAATTGACATGATACTTGACAACATTGTCAAAGAGCATAAAGCCAGCAAGGAGAAAGCCGAGAATACAGGCAAGGACAAAGCAAATGATCTATTAGGTGTCCTTTTGGATCTGCAGGAGCATGGTGAGCTTGAAGTTCCTTTAACAATGAACAATATCCAGGAGAACAATATCAAAGCGGTTCTCCTGGTTAGTATGTTTATGTTATGTTTATGTATTTATCATCAAGTTTTTCATACTACCACTAAAAAAGTTTACTTAGGCACCCAATAATGCACTTCTCTATGTATTCACTTCACTCTATGCATTCACTTCACTCTATGTATTCTTCACTCAATCTACTTCGTACACACATTCCCCTAAGTTGCTGTTGAAAGAATGGGCATGATATCGGTTTAGAAAGAACCTAACAAGGAGGAACTGGTTTAAACTAAAATTGTTTGCAACATGCACAAGAAATGATGTTTGGTCCTACTACTGAAATACATGTGTTCTATTTCAGGACATTTTCACAGCTTGGATCGAGAGTGGAATGGGCAATGTCAGAAATGCTGAAAACACCAAGAGTAATGAGAAAGGCACAAGCAGAGGTGAGGCAGGTCTTCTGTACAAAAGGCAATGTCGAGGAAAACGGTCTTCAGGAATTGAAATTCTTAAAGGCAGTAATCAAAGAGACTTTGAGAGCACCCTCCTATTCCTTTGTTGCTTCCAAGAGAATGTAGTGAAAGTAGTGAGATTGATGGATATGGGATACCTGTTAAAACCAAAATCTTTGTAAATGCATGGGCAATTGGAAGAGATTCCAAGTATTTGACTGAAGCGGAAAATTTTTGTCCAGAGAGATTCCTTGATAGTTCAGTTGATTTCAGGGGAACTGATTTTGAATTTATCCCATTTGGAGCAGGAAGGAGGATATGTCCGCGCATAACATTTATCCAATGTTCTGAATATGGTTTAGTAGGCCATTCAGACTCGTTCTGTTTAAAATATTGATTTAGTATGCATATTTTCTTTGCCAGCCCTCCGTGTCATCTGCTTCGCTATATGTTTTAGTTTTAATTAAAGATATAGAAGGGAAAGGGGGAGGAACGTGAAAAACATGGTAGATCAAGGTGTTGCAAGAAGGGGAAAAAAAATACAGAAAGCTGTATGTATATATATATATACATACATACATACATACATACATGTGTATGTACTGTGCTGAATATCTCTTTTTTGGTTTTATTAGTAAGGGGCTGAGGTTACTCACGCACAGATATTTTTGGGACAGTGTGTGGTTTCTATGTTTGGTTTTTTTAGCAGAAAATTATTCTCCATGTATACGAGATATCCCTTCTGGATGAGCTGACCGATGCTTAAAATATTGCTCTTAATTCTTTGTATATAGTAAACATCACAGGCGTATTCTTTTACCATCCTTCTAAATGATCGTTGTTAAATAGATCATATCATCACTGTGAGTCGAGCCTAATGGCCATTTCATGGTTGGGTTGCCCTTATACTGACCTGATCAGATATGATGCCCCGGGTATATAAAAGGCCTCCTAGCCAAGGTCTGACGGGACAAAGTGCGAATAAGTGCTCAGACATTCAAACACCAACCCGACCACTGTGGTGCCGTGTATGACCAGATGTGCATTAATGATGTGCAGGCGTGTTCAGACCTTTGTCAAGTCAGTCGTTCCATCCGTCTGATCATCAGTCTGGCGATGGAGAGAGATCATTTAATGTGCCTCCCATCCAAAACCACGTGTCGCTTTGCCACATGATCCTTGTCAGATAGCATAGTGATTAGAACAAGCCATTTAATGTAATCCAGTCCCATTAGGGGGAAGGAAGATAAATATCTCCTCCTTTAAGTATCTTTGTCCCTCATTCTCCCCTTATAAATACCCCTCACCTATCTCTGGACAAAGGTAATAAATATTCTCACTTGATAAAAACTACATCATTTTCTCCATCCCTAAATAGCATCTGAGTTAGCCATCAGAGGGGGCTCAACTGGGATCAACCCTAGTTCGCTCATACTCTGATAACTGCTCGAAGTGTGCAGGTCTCCTCCTGAAGGCATTATTACCTGAAGATCAGATGTAGGCCCTGACCTTGACTCAGGTCCTGGCCATATACTATAGGAGAAGGATACGCGGTTTACAATCTTGATTTTTCCTTTTCCTTCAACTGTAACATTTGACATTCTTCTTTCCTCTAATATATGCGTTTCTCCTTTCTTAGGATGCACCACGATTATAAAAAAAACCTCTTCCTAGGCCTCGACAATGTCCACGACCACCTTTTGCACTACTATGTTTTACTATTAGCGCAACGAACACGAATTTGTCGCGCAAAATGCACTACAGCGACAGAAAAAAATATTCGTCGCACAAAATGTCTTAGCGCGACAGAAAATTCCTTAGTCGCGCAAAGTGAGGAAGAAAAACCCGAGTTTTTTTTTTGGCACCAAACACTTGCGCGACGACAAAAATCATCGCGTAAGAGAACCTAGCACGACGGTTGGACACTTTGTCATGTAAAGGTGGACAGAAAACTGTGGGTTCTGTTATTTGGCGGCAAAAACTTGTGCGACGACAGTTTTCGTCGCAAAAGACAACTTAGCGTGACGACATGATTTATCATCGTGTAAGAAAATGTGGTTTTTTTTTTTTTTTTTTTGTGCAAAGGCTTGCGCGACAGAAATAGTGTTCGTCGCGTAAAGTTTGATGTCAGTACATTCTTGCACGACGGAAGATTGTTTTTGCGTGACGACAGTTAGAATTTGAGCGACGAAAGTTTGTGCGACGAACCAAATCATGCATCGTGCAAAAGTGTGATGTTGACACGTGCTTGCGCGACCAAAAAGTTATTTTGTGCGACGGAAAAGTGGTTTTTCGCCACAGCAGTTTGAGTGACGAAATCAAAGGTTTGTCGCGCAAAGTCCTTCTTCTTTATACTAGATTTATGTCATTGCAGAGGCAGAATGCAAAAAAAAAGCATTCTGCCTCTCTCTCAACCTCCCTGCCACTGCCTCTGCTGGGAATTTAGTACGTTCATTGGGTAAATATTTTTGTCGTTAGTTCAAAAGTATTAATGTAAATTTGTACTAACACTATTAATTTTGTTCTCGTTAGGGATATTTGTAATTAGCGATTGATGGAGAACGATTGAGAATGTATTTTATTCGTTTTATATATTACAAATGTTAAATTAATTACATTATGTTAAAGTTAGTTTGTTATTTTTATATTTCTTTTGTGAAGTTATATTTATATTATGTTGTTAAATTGTGCGCGACGTAGCACAATGTGTTGTGATGTATGAAGTTAATTGAAATTAACTTCGTACTTTTATTTTTATGTTTAGTAACACTTAGTTTCCCGTTCGAGATTAGTTGGATTTCGTGCATGGATGTGTAAAGCATGATTGCGGTCCAATTAATTCTTGAATTGTCCCATTATTTGGACAGTTTGGGAATGCATAGTTATGTCACGTAATATACAGCTATAGGATTAGGTTTCGATTGTGGAGATTTCGGTGTTATCTGTGTATGTTCTTCGGGTGGTACGTAGGTATTTGTACCTATGGTACACCTCAAGAACTGTATCGAGATGCTGCCGAAATTCATCAATGTCGAAATCTAATCTCATGTAGCCGTACATTACATTACATGACTATGCATTCCCGAATGAGATAGGGCCCTTACCGGAGGCATAAGGTGACATTATGACTTCGTATGAAGTTGTTGTGATTGTTGTGTTGTGATTGTGGTTCCAGGAATTATGAGCAGGAGGTGGATATAGAACCTGAATAGATGTGTAGACGAATACTTGGATGGAATCGAGGATTTTATTGAGTTTGCATGTACACAAAACTCGGGTGCAACTAGAATCCGTTGTCCTGAAAATGTTGGATTTCATTTAGTAAGGAATAGAATGATTGAGACATATAGCATTTGGAACCTTCATGAGGAACAATTAGACCATGCTTTGTCTTCAAATGCCACAAGAGTGGACAATGTTGAACCTATTGTGGATCATAATGATCAAGTCATGGATATTATACAGGATGCTTTTCCATTTTCATCGACCAACATCAATTAGGAAGGGGAAGATGACATGCCTACACCAATAGACAGTGCAGAGTTTGAACAATATGAAAAACTGTTAAAAAATGCCAACCAAGAGTTATACCCGGGGAGCGACAGCTTTTCTGTTCTCACGGCCATTGTGGAGCTAATGCACGGAAAAATAAAGTATCGTATGTCGAACCTGTGCTTCGATTACTTTTTGGGGGTTTTCAAGAGTATGCTTCTGACGGACAATTGTTTGCCGAAATACCATAAACACACGCAAAAGGTGTTGAATGGTCTTGGATTAGGTTATAAAAAAATTCACGATTGCAAAAACAATTGCATGTTATTCTACAAAGAGCATGAAACGTTGGATACATGCCTTGTATGCAATGAGTTGAGGTTCAAAATGACATATCAGAATAGAACGACTAAGATCCCACAAAAAGTCATGCGTTATCTGCCCCTGAAACCTAGGTTATAACGATTGTATATGTCGACGCATACTGCCATAGACATGAGATGACATAAGGAAAAACGGGTAGACGATGATGTGATGCGGCATCCTGTAGATGGAGAGGCTTGGAAAGAGTTCGATTGACTGTTCCCCAAGTTTGCTGTTGATCCCCAAAATGTTAGATTGTGACTTGCCACTGACGGATTCAATTCGTATGGGGTTCTAAATCAACACCACCGCACTTGGTCGATTTTTGTATTCCCATATAATTTGCCGCCTTGGAAATGCATGAAAAAAGAATACATGATGATGACTGTTTTGATAACTGAGGATCCTGGCAGGTCAATCGATGTTTACTTAAGGCCGCTGGTTGATGAGGTGAAGGATTTATGGACAAATGGTGTGAGCACATATGATAAATCAACTGGGAAGATGTTCACTTTGCGGACAGCAGTTATGTGGACTGTGAATGATTTTTCAGCATATGCAATGGTTTCTGGGTAGAGCACAAAGGGTTATATGACATGTCTTGTATGCAGGGAAGATGTAACTTCTGGCTGGCATGCTGGAAATGTTTGTTACCTTGGTCATCGGAGATGGTTGCCATGGGACCAAGAGTGGCGGGAAAAAGATAAAGTGTTCGACGGGAACACAGAGCGTCACCTGAGACCTAGAGAATGGTCCGGTGATGAGATCTTGGAATAGCTTAACCGTTTGTATTTTTCTCAGTTCAGGAAAATAATTAGTCGGACTAGACCTTCTACACATATGAACTGGATGCACAAGCCTATGTTTTTTGAGCTCTCATATTGGTCGAAACTCAAATTGAGGCACAATCTAGATGTGATGCATGTTGAGAAAAATGTATTTGACACATTGGTGGGCACGATTGTAGATATCGAGGGCAAGACAAAGGACACGGTCAAAGCTCGTCTTGATTTGGAAAGAATGGGCATACAACGGGGTTTATGGATGAATAGGGATAGTGATAAAGCTAGAAGGGATTTTGCATTTTTTTTCTATGAAACCAAATGATAAAAAAGAGTTTCTAAAGTTTGTATCGTCTGTAAAGTTTCCCAGTGGGTATGCTTCTAATATCGCATGTTGCGTGAATGTTGATGGGGGTAAATTTACTGCACTTAAGAGCCATGACTGCCATGTGTTTATGCAACGCCTACTTCCTGTGGGTATTCGACACCTATTGCCGGAAGATGTAGTGAAGCCAATCATGTTGTTGTCCAGATTTTTTTTTCCAACTGACGGCAAAAACATTGCGAAAGACAGACATTAATCAGTTGCACCATGACATTGTCCAAGTCCTATGCAAGTTTGAGATGATATTTCCTCCAGCTTTCTTCACAAGTATGATGCACGTAATGGTTCACTTGCCAGAAGAGGCATTGCTTGCTGGTCTTGTCAACTATCGTTGGATATATCCAATAGAAAGGTATATAATCCTTATCGTTTGTGTATGCATCATTATCACAGGCTTGATAATTTGTATCATATCGTTTTATTTTGACAGGCTTCTCGAAAAGCTAAAAAAAAGTGTACGCAACAGGACGAAGCCCTAAGGATCAATTATAGAGGCTTGGGTTTTATATGAGTCGCTTACTTTCTGTGGAATGTATTTAAAAGATATGGAGACGGCTTTCAATCGTCCTCAGTGCAATAATGACGGAGGTATGAGAAATGAATTTTTTTCTATTTTTGCCCAAAGCGCACGACCCTTTGGAGATCCCGGATGAGGAGAGTCGTTTTCTAGAAATGACATGGAGGTAGCGCATTGGTTCATACTGAACAATTGTAATGAGATAATGGCATACTTAGATGAGCATGAAGAGATGATGAAGTGAGAACATTCATCACATTTGTATGCCAACAAACACCGTGAATTGTTTCCACAATGGTTTTTGGATTCTATAAGTTATAAGTGTTTTGTATTTGACAAATATAAATTGTAGTATTTACTTTTGTCAGACTAGCATGTGAATGGTTTTGTATAATATTAGGTGAATAAGTTGAAATCATCGAATTCCCCCACTTATAGTGATGAGTTATATAACTTGGCGTTCGGCCCGATTCTCGTTGAATTGTTCTCGGTTTATCATGTTAATGGTGTCAAGTTTTCGGGGGCTGCACGAGATGACTAGTTGTGTACGCAAAACAGCGGTGTCCATGTCCTAGTGTTTGGGCCTAAATTGAACGCGCCCAGCCCAAGCATTTTGGGCTTTTGAAAAACCTAGGCAAAGCCCAAAGTCCAGAGAGGCCCAGCCCAAGACTCATCAAAATGTGGCAAACAAACTTGGGCCCCAAAAGAAAAGCAGTCACCTTTGAGCTCCAGACAAATCAGAATGGGCCCAGCATGATTAAAAGAAAAAAAGGAAGAGACACATTTTCAGAACCCACGTGACTACCAAAATGGAAGAGTCAACAAACTCAACTGAGTTGATTGAGAATTAATTAAAGTAGGTCAGTGGCCAAAAAACTTCTCTGAATTTCTGCCACCAGAAGATCAAAATCCTTCTTATATATTCAAAAATATTGATTTCACTCCAAGGAGGCACAATTCTTTCAAAAGATACGCATGCCATATTTTCAAAAAGGAAATAAGCAGGAGGATAGAGAGTTGTTCATCTGGGAAATCAAACTAACCATCACGGTTGAAATCTCACAAGGGGCAGTTAAATTGGGAAAAGGAATTAGGCTTCTTTTTTTTTAAAAAAAGGGAAGTGATCTCAAAGATTGATTGATAAAAGCCTATCTGACATAATTAAATTAAATCCTTCCCTCTCTTGTATCTCTTTGCAGATCTTTGAGAAGACTTGCCGCCCATTATTTTAAAGAAAGAAACCTTGCCCCTGTGCATTTCTTGTAAATATAAAGAGGGAGTGAACAGGGCAGAAAAAAGAACACACTCAATTCATCAATCAAACAAACAACTCAAAAATCAACCAAAAGCTCACTTGAACTCCAAGAAAAACCAGCTTTAGATCAGATTTCCCAAAGTTCAGACTTAACTATTCAAAACGAGATCTCTCTCGTTACAAATTTGGTTTAGCAAAGCCAAAACAAGCCGAGTTTGAGTTTTCCCAAATATGAAAACCTCAACAAATCTCACAGTGTAGTCTTTAGCTCACTAATCCTCAAGACCAGCCACTTCTGCCCATTCAAACTGAAGAAGCTGCAGTTCTGCCAGCTCAAAAGCCTTCCAAAGCTTAAAGTAGATTAAAGCTCTGCCAAACTTGAACTTTGGTATCAATTTGTAGCTGAAGCTTAGCAGTTGAAGTTGTTAACAGTTCAGTCCATCCCAGACATATCCAGTCCAGCCCGGATCAGAGTCTTCGATCCAGATAGAGATGGAGTTCCATCTGTCTTTTTGTCTTTCCAATGTTGACATGTATATTTATAGTTTTGTAAATGGCAGTTCTGCCTAAAACAGTCCAATTTTTATCAACTATTCTGGTCAGAACAACCGTTTTTATACTGAGATAAATTGTGAAAGTCCTCACCAGTCTGAGGCAAGAAAAGAACTTACTTGGGAGATATTCCTCACCCAAATTCACAATCGTTTGTTTTAGAAATCAGTAATTTGGGGCGCAAGTTATCTATTCTAGAAGAATGCTAGAATCTTCATTGCTAGCAGTGGCACGCTCATACACCAAAGAAAGCTGACTTGTTGAGCAGTCAATGGTTTCCAGGGCAGTGGGGAACTTTGCCCTTCCATCTCAGGAGTAAACATAAAACGGGGTGAACAATTTGGCATGCCCAGTGGGACTTCTCAGTATACATGCTCTGACAAATAACTTCTCAAGTTTATGAATATTGGAAGCTTTAGCCAGAACCCGCACTACGATATGGAGATAAACTAAGTAGCTCTCAGGGAAGGACTGGAGTCAGAAGAAAGTGATGCCAGGCAGTCAGCCCATGACAGTACAGGAAGCAAATGTTCCTGGACCGGCTCAAGAAGGATAAATCAAATACAGGAATCTGTGCTCATACAGGAGGTTACAACACAAAGAAGCCAAGATACTCTGAACAACATGACAGCCATGATGCAATGGCAGGTTAATAGGCAGTTCAGGAAGGACCATGAGGCTTCTATGGCAAGAATCCCAAATCCAGATGCTATAGTCCAGCAGCTAGACCTTCCTTATGGCCCTCCACCAGGATTAGCGTGGCTATACCATGAGAACCCTCTCATTGCACAGATAGCTGGAATACCAGGGCATGGAGAGATTTAGGCTAGACAGAGGGGAGGAGCCCTTCCCGTCCAAGAACGTGAGGCCCCAGCCCGGCCAGAGAGCCCTGCACCAGTTCAGATTCAGCAGATCCAGCAAGAACCTCAGCCTATTCCACAAGATCAACCTTTGGCACTTCTGCCTGAGCCACCAGCAGTATTGCCTTGCAGACCCAGAAGGATGGATCCCAATCGTTCCCTCCACCTGCAAGAGGCAGAAGAGGCAGAGGGGGAAACAACCCTTTTGCTAACAATGACAGAAGCAGGGCGGGGGCAAACTAGAGGAATCATCCAGATCTGGAAGAGCAGGAAGAACACAGGGAGGAAGCTTTGCCCAGACCATGCAGGGTGGATCCCAGGATTGATTACGCTCAGCCAGAACAGGGGCGAAATCTCCACCCTGTCAATGCTTTGAATGATGTGGGGGCATTACAAAGAATGATCAGAGAGATGATGGAGCCCGAAGCCAAAAGAGGAGAAAGGCCCACCTATGGAAAGCCATATCCGGCTTATATCGATCAAAAACCTCTATCTCCAGGTTTCAAGGTACCAAACTTCACCTTGTTCAATGGAGAGGATCCCTATGCTTCATCGGTTGAGCATATTGGCAGGTTTTCTGTCCAGTGCATAGCCATAGAAAATAATCCTCTGCTGAAATTAAGGCTTTTCAGGAATTCTCTCTCTGGACAAGCTTTCACTTGGTATACCAGCCTGCCAGCTAATTCTGTTCAAACTTGGGAACAGATGGAAAGTGTTTTCCATGACTACTATTACAGGATTCAGCTAGAAGTCACCATCAGTGACCTTGCTACCCTCAAACAGAGTGAAGATAAACCTGCTCAAGACTTCATAACCAGGTTCAGGAAGCTCAAAATGAAGTGCTGGATCCCTATGGATGAAAGACACTTCATCCAGATGGCTCAAGCCGCCCTTAATATCTCCTTGAGAAAAAGATTTGATGGAATGTTGTTTGGAGATCTGACAGAATTGGCAGATAAAGCATCCAAGTATGAAGAGTTGCTTAGGGAAGAGCAGCAAAAGAGAAACTCTTCCAAGGGCACGTATTACAAGTCCCATTCTTCAATACACCTAGTTCAGGTAGAATCAGAAGAAGAAGCACAGGGCTCAAAGGAAGGAGAAATTGCAGTAGCAGAGATGACAAAGTTGAAACATCCCATCAACTGTAAGGCCCTTACAAAGCCACCAAAGGATCAGAAGCTGCCACCATTCACAGGAGGTTTATTCCTTTGATCTGACCAAGGTGGATGCTTTGTTTGATGAAATGTTGCTACAGAAAGAAATAGAGACACCCCACAGAGTACCCAAGCCAGAAGAACTCAAGGGCAAGTAGTATTGTAGGTGGCACAACTCTTGGAATCATTCTACCAATAGTTGTGTTGTTTTCAGAGATGTTATACAGGAAGGAATAACAGCAGGAAGGCTGAAGCTGGCAGAGAAACCCCCATCAGTCACAACAGATCCTTTTCCCCAACCACAAGTCAACATGGTCAACTTAAATTGGCCAGAACAAAAGAGGAGCAGGCCAACGATAGAAGCTAAATCCAGCAGAGGCAGAATAGTCTCAAGGGAAATTATTGAAAGACCAAAAGCAACTATCTCAGTTGAGCTAAAAGTGGCCCTGAACAGATAGAACCAGCCCACTCCAAGTGTTTTTGACAGGATTGGAACCTCATCCCGAGAGAGAGCTGGGCAGAAAGACTATCCCAGGATTGCCTAGCGCAGCAAGAGGATGACAGAGCAACCCAAGAAGGAAATATCAATCAAGATGCCAGGGAATGAGAAACCTTTGGCAGCTATCATAGAAGGCAGGTGGTATTCTGTCAAAAAAGTGGCAGACCAACCATGGAGTTAACCAGAACTCAGAAAAGGAGGGTCCAAAGGCAGTACTGCATGTTCCTCAATAACAAAAGGGATACACAAGTACTTCCAGGGATCGATTCTGCCAGAAAAGGGAAAAAGCCGGAAGTACTCCTCTATGCAGAACAAGCAATCTCCCAGCCACAGAAGCTATTGAAAGCAGAATGTCTAGGCAAGCCTTCTATCCACCCTGCCTCATCATCAGACAATCTACTTAAACCACAACTAGGAAAATCCGAAGCTGTTCCAGCAAAAGGACAAGAAGACTGGATTGAGGAAAATGGAGAGGAACAACTAGATTATGAACCATCTGCAGATGACCAAAATGCACTCCTCGAAGCAGGAGAACAGGGAGACTAGACAGAAGAATATGGGGAAGAACAGATGGAATACGATGGAGAAATAGATGCAGAAACTGAAGCTTTTGGCGCAGAGTTGGAGGACTTATTACAGGGTGATTTGGGCATCAACATGGTGTTCATTCTGCCAGAAAAATTCAGAGCAGCAGAAGGACAAGAAAGCATTTTGGAGGGAGATGTGTTCTCCCAGGAGAGTTTTGAATGCAGGTTTGCAGAAGCAGAAGAGTCACCAGAACAGCAAACAGTTAATCACAAGACAGGAGGAAGTACCAACAAACTAGCTGCAGAACAGCTTTGCTTCTCCAAACCAACCAAAGAAATGGCCAATCACCTCAGACCCTTGTTCATAACAGCAAATTTTTGGGGTGTTCCCATTCCCAAGGTCATGGTAGATGGAGGTGCGGCCATTAATCTTCTGCCTCACAGAATGCTGAGCAAAATGGGCAGAACAGAGAAGGATTTGATTCCAACACGCTTGACCGTCACCAACTTCGCAGGGGGCATCACCAAAACCCACGGGATCTTAGATGTGGATGTCATAGTTGGAAGCAAAAAACTAAAGATTGCATTCTTTGTGGTAGACACCACTTCTACCACTTACAATGCACTGCTTGGCAGGGACTGGATTCATCAGAGTCTATGTGTCCCTTCCACTCTTCATAAGCAATTAGCTTTGTGGAATGAAGAGGGTCACATGGAGATAGTAGAGGCCGATCCACGGCCATTTCTGCCTTCTGCCATGTGTTTTGAGGCAAGGTACTATCATGATGACCTTGGTTCTTTCACTTTCCTCGGAGTCAACCAGAACGGCTGCCCCCATGGTGTCACGGCCCAGAGGTTCATTGAAGATGGTCTAGCCAGTCCCCTAGAGGACTGGAATAGACCTTTTGTTCTAAACCTCCAGAACTCTGATGTTTAGTCCCCATTAACAGGAAATGGATCGAGCTGCAACAATCCGATCCATTACAAAAAGATTGTTGGTGTATTCAGAGGAAAGAAAGCTCTTCATGCAGAATCCAGCCATCAATATGGCAGAATTCACCCATGAAAGCACGGAAGATCAAGAGGAAGAAAGTTTGCAGGAGGAAGTATTAGATTTTGCACCAGCAGCCCTGGATGATTCTCTGCCAGAAGTAGAAGATCCTTTGCAGTAAATAAACTTAGGGACAGAAGAGGATCCAAGGCCTACTTTCATTAGTGCACTATTGAAAGAACCACTTAAAAGTGAACTCATTGCACTTTTGCAGGAGTTCAGAGATTGTTTTGCTTGGCATTATTATGAAATGCCAGGATTAGACAGGGAATTGGTGGAACACAAGCTGCCAATTAAGGATGGCTACCTTCCAGTTAAACTGGCCAGAAGAAGAATGTCTATGGACACAGAACTGAAGGTAAAAGAAGAGATAGAAAGGTTGCTCAAAGCAGGGTTCATTAGACCAGCCATCTATGCTGATTGGCTAGCCAATATTGTACCAGTTCTTAAGAGAAAAACAGGGGCAGTTAGAATCTATGTGGATTATAGAAATCTGAATGAAGCATTTCCCAAAGATGAATACCCCATGCCAATGGCAGACATGCTGGTAGATGGAGCTGCTCATAACCAGATGCTATCTTTTATGGATGGCAATGCTGGTTACAATAAGATTATGGTGGCAGAAGAAGACATTCACAAGACAGCTTTCATGTGCCCAAGACATATAGGTGCTTTTGAATATACTGTAATGCCTTTTGGTTTAAGAAATGCAGGAGCCACTTATCAAAGAGCAATGAATTCTGTTTTCCATGACATGATAGGGCATTCTTTGGAAGTATACATAGATGATGTGGTGATTAAATCCCAAGAAGAGGGAAATCATGTATTAAATCTAAGAAAGGCATTCCTAAGAATGAGACAACATAAACTGAAAATGAACCCCAAAAAGTGTGTTTTTGGAGTTCAAGCAGGAAATTTCTTAGGATTCTTGGTCTACCAGAGAGGCATAGAGATTGACAAGAACAAAGCGAAATCCATCATAGAAGCTCTACCACCTTAGAATAAGAAAGAACTGCAGAGTCTCCTAGGAAAAATTAATTTTCTAAGGAGATTCATATCCAATTCTGCAGGAAAGATCCAGCCTTTCTCCTAGTTGTTAAGATTGAAACAGGAACATAACTTCAAGTGGGAAGAACATCACCAACATGCTTTTGAGAAAATCAAACATTACCTCTCAAATCCACCAGTTCTGTCACCACCAAAGAAAGGTAGACCACTCAAGCTCTATGTGTCTGCATAAGAAGTATCCATTGGGAGTCTGTTAGTCCAAGATAACAAGTAAGGAAAGGAACATGCAGTCTACTACCTGAGCAGAACTTTGACAGAAGTAGAGAGAAAATATTCACCAATTGAAAGACTTTGCCTAGCCTTATACTTTACGGCTGTAAAGCTCAGACACTACATGCTGCCATATACCATCTACATCATTGCCAAGACAGATCTAATCAAATACATGCTAACAAGGCCAATGCTGAGAGGCATAATTGGAAAATGGACTCTGGCTTTGACAGAATTTGCTTTCAGATATGTTCCTTAGAAAGCTTCAAAGGACAAGCTATGGCAGATTTCCTAGCAGGCCATCCAAGAGAAGAAATTGAAAACATGGACTCCTTGGATATAGCAAATGCAGATCTGTTGACAAGAGCTCATACTTGCCTAAACAATCCTATCTATTCAGTTCACCTCACACCTTGGAAGTTATACTTTGATGGATCAAAGACTGACACAGCTTCTGGGGCAGGAATTGTTTTGGAAGAACCACTTGGAATCAGACACTGTTATTCTTTCCAGTGCACCAACAATAGGGCAGAATATGAGGCTTTAATCATTGGCCTTGAAATGCTGGTGGAATTAGGAATCCAGTATGTGGAAATTCTGGGAGATTCTATGCTTGTGCTGAAACAGATTGCTGGAGAATACAAGTGCCTAAGTCCTTCTCTAGCTGTCTACTTAGTAGCAGCTAGGAATCTTCTAACAGAATTCAGAGAGGCTACTTGGGAACACATCCTAAGAGAAGAAAACTTTGCAGCCAATGAGCTGGCTCAGGTAGCAACAGGCATACAAATGCCTGAAGACTGTGTACAGAGAATCATCAGGGTATGAAAGAAAAGACTGACCAGAGGAATGAAGATAAATGTCAATTCTGCCACGATCACTGAAGATGATTGGAGAAATCCCATCATGACTTACTTACAATAGCCAGCTCTGCCCTCTAAAAAGAGAGTCAGAATCATGGCTATGAACTACCTTATGTGGAATGAAGATTTGGTCCAAAAAAGTAAGGATGAGGTACTATTAAGGTGCCTCGGAAGGAAAGAATACATGAAAGTCATGGGAGAGACTCATGAAGGGATCTGTGGAGCTCACCAAGGAGGAAGGAAGATGTGCTGGTTAATCAGGAGGTATGGCTATTTCTGGCCAACCATGATGAAAGATTGCATTGACTATTCCAAAGGGTGTGAGTCTTGTCAAAGACACGGCCCAATCTAGCAGGCTCCTTCAGTTCCCATGAATCTAGTGGTGAAGCCATGGCCTTTTAGAGGATGGGCAATGGATCTCATTGGCAAGATCTATCCATCCAGCAGTCAGCAACATTGTTTTATTATTGTTGCTACAGACTATTTCACCAAGTGGGTGGAAGCCAAGCCTGTTAAATCCACTACATCTCAAGAGATCATCACCTTCATAGAAGAACAAATTATATAGAGGTTTGGCATCCCAGAGTCAATCACAACTGATAAGGGATCTTCTTTCATATCTGGAGAGATGCTGGATATGGCAGAGGCATTCAAATTCAGGCTGCTTCAATCCACTCCTTACTATGCTCAAGCTAATGGACAGGCAGAATCAAGCAACAAAGTGATCATCAACATTATCAGAAAAATGCTTGAGAAAAATCCAAAAAAATGGCATGAGAAGCTATCAGAAACTCTGTGGGCATATATAACTTCAAAATGAGAAGCAACTGGCATGACCCCCTATGCTTTAACCTATGGCCATGATGCAATTCTACCTATGGAGATAGCTGTTCAGTCCCTCAGAATTGCTCACCAACATGATCTGGTTGGAGAAAATTACTCTCAAGCCATGCTGCTAGAACTGGAAGGATTGGATGTAAGCAGAATTAACACCCTCAATAAACTCCTGGCAGGAAAGCAAGCTGTGTCAAGGGCCTACAACAAAAGAGTAAAGAACAAGAGTTTGGAGGAAGGAGAGATAGCCTGGAAAGCAGTTCTGCCCCTTGGAACGCATGTGGCTGGTTATGGAAAGTGGTCACCTATATGGGAAGACCCTTTCATAGTTAACCAGATCCTTGGAATGGGGGCATACGGGTTGCAGGATCGAGAGGGGGAAGTTCATGCTGCCCCAATCAATGGCAAATGGTTGAAAAAGTTTTTTCCAACTATGTGGGACTCACAAGCTATACAGACAGATCCCGGGATAGAGAAGGAACAACACTGAAACTGTTTGTTTCAGATTTTGTTCAGAATTTATTTTTTCTCTAAGTTGTTTAAAGTTTGTTTCCTTTTCGTTTCTTACTTTTGTTTATTTTATCAAAAGAAATTAAAAACCCGAAAATTGCAACAAAAACAAACTTTATTTAGAATAAATAGCCATGGGGCCTTCCAGATGGCAAATTGTTCATCATGAAGCCAAAACTGAAAGATAAAATAAATTTTAAAACCATAACTTCCTGAGGGTTTCTTGCAAATTCACTTTCTTGATAAAGAGTTATTTTTGAAGCAGCACCCCCTGGTGGATTGAAGCCTTTGCAATTTCCAAAGTTGGCCTGGAAGCTGCAACCATGCTCTGCACAAGGGAAGTAGCCTTGGTCCGAGCCTGTGCTGCACCTCCCTGCATTCTGCCAATTGCTTCTGCAGCTCCTCAATTTGTTTTTCCAGCTTTTCTGCAGTGGACTTAGCCTCCTTGTATCCTGCCACCATCTGGTCCAGTTCTGCCATCTGCTTTGCAAAATCAGCCAAGTTGGCTTCGTGAGTAGCCTTGCAGAATTCAGAAGTCTTGAAGGAGGGCTTGAGATCCTCATAACGATCATGGAGGTTGAGCGCATCTCTTGCCAGGCTAAGACTCATCTCAAGTTTGGGTTTGGGGGCCATATTCTGTCTGTGCAGCAGGTCCAGGTCTTTCATCAGCTGGTCAATGGCTTCCTTGTCCTCCATAGACTGCTAGATCTTCAGTCTCTCCATAGCCTCCTCCACTACCTTGGATTTTGCCTTTCCTGGAGCGGAGCTGAGTTTCTCCAATTGGTCCAGCTGGGCGTCTAGGTCCATACCTTCAAACGCTGCCAGTTCTGGATTAGCGGAGGAGGCCGTGGTAGATGAACCTGGGAGGGAATGGATAGGCATCTGCAGAAGAGAGCATGAGTCAGAATCAGGTAGAAAAAAAAGGAAAATGCCTGAAAAATATAATGAACACTTACAGCAACAATTGGGGGCTTCAAGGGGCTGGTCACCACTGACAGGGCACCAACAGGTCTGGGCACTTCTACCTGGAAGGACTACAACAATTAAAGAATAAAAAACAGAACAGAATTGCAGAAAATGTGAGCAGAATTGGAAAAAAAATTACCATGACTTCAGGAGCAGATACAACCACTTCCACTCCAGCTTCTGGGACCACCACCTAGGTTCTGACGCAGATTGTCCTGCCTGCTCCTTAGTTGCTGGAACAACATTAGAGTGTTCTGCTTCTGGATCCTCAAATAGGGCCAGCTCTGAGCTAGTCAGGCCTGCCCTTATATCTTCCTGCTGTTTCTGAGCCAGCGCAATACTCTCTGCTATCACCTCAGCAGGAATTTCCTCATATAGAGAGGCAGAAGTTAGAACAGAAGGAATAAAAAGACAGAAAAGCTGATGCAGCCAGTAGAACAAGACTCACCTCTTCTTCCAGCTCATTCTCTTGCTCCGCAGCCTCAAAAGCCTATCTCAGCTCTTCATCCGTGTCAGAAGTGGCGGTAGGAGCTGTTGCAGTTCCTTCTGTGGCCACATATTCCACCACCGTCCTCTTTCTAAGCCTTTTTGACTTAGTAGGAGGAGGAGAAGGACCTTCAGCTGCAATGGACAGAAAATAGGCCATTAGAACATAAGCTAGAACAGAACTATGAAGGGCTCAAAATTGTCAAAATTCACCTGAAGTCGCAGGTTGAGCAGTTTCCTTTCTTTTCCTTCTGACAGAAGGAGCGGCCTCAACGGGAGTCTGTTTTGCTTGATCTTCTTCTTCTTCTTCTCCAGAAGGAAGCTCCATGTCTCCAGCAGTGATAACATAAGTAACTACACAGAAAATAACAAATGTCAGAAGCAAATCCAGTAGGAAAAGGTAGAGGGAACAGAGGAATAGAAAGTTTACCAAATACTTCTCCAGCCTGGGCAGACTGACCACCAACGTTCTATGTCAAAGAGGGATCTGTTACAGACAGAACAAAGTGTTAGATGTCACCACTACAAAAACAGAATAAGCAGAACAGACAGAATTAGGACACTACCTTCCAGAACTTGGGCATTGATGTCCTTTACGGTCTGCACCAAAAACTTATGAGTCTTCTCTCCTGAACGAACGGCCCAGCCATTCCAACCATCAAAAATCATTGCCAGTGCAGTGCTAGAAGCAGGTAGATTTCGAAATCGAGTCTTCCACCAGGCGTCAAAATCGGCAGAACTGCAGGAATTGGGCTCCCACGACGGATAAAGGGCATCTGCACTGTTGTTGATCTTGTTCACCGCGCACCTAGCATCCTTGTGCACCTCCAGATCATCTGCATCTCTCCAGGAAGAGGCCCAATTGCAGCTTCTGTATGATTTAAGCGGGATAAGCTGGGGATAGCCAAGCTACCTTGCACAGAAGTTAGGATGATATACTTCTACCCCCAAATGATAGTTTGGGGGTTTCCCTCCTCCATGAGGCAGATTTCTCGGCAAGGTAACGCTCAGGAACTTCTTCCTGAAGTTAGTTCTGGCTGCCTCCTCGTCTGGCTCCTTCTCAAATAGCCGGTATCCAGGCTGGAACCAAGGATAGGCCCTTCTGATCACCAGCTGCCACTGAGCTGCTGACCTTTTAGTACAGTGCCGGAAGAACATCAAATACTCTTCAAGGGAGCATTTGGGCACTTATTCCGACATCAGACGCTGAGCCAGAACTTGGTCTTTAGGCAGAACTATGTCTGGGAACCTCAGTTATGGGAATAGACTTGCAGCCAGATTTGAGTAATCCAGAATGCACTAGGAGCAGACAGGTTCAGCGGATTCTCCAGGGTGGCAGCGTGCAGGTTCTTGAATAAATGAGCCAGATTTGTAGGCCCAAGTCCAACATCAGTATGGTTGTGCAAGGCTTCTGTCAGATGTCTGTGCTCAAGGAGAACTGCTAAAGAGAGGTTGGGCAGAATAAACCTGCTCAGTCAATACAGAAGGAACAACATGTGCTGCTGGTCCTTGTCCTTCTCAGCACTGAATTTCCTTAGGTAATTGGAGAAGGAGCAGTTCTGGTTGATGAATGGCTTGGCTAGTTTCTGCTGGTTCTTCCTCCTATGATAGTCACCAACAACATCAATAGGTCTTCCATGGGGCCTGAACCCAAAAATCTGAGCCCTTCATAGTCCCAGTCCCAGTCCCAGTCCCAGTATTGTAGTCGGGAGGAACTAAAACAGAGGAAGACTGAGCACGGGATTTTGGGGAAGACATTTATCAGGTTTGTTTTTGTTAAGAAAGAAAAGAAGTTGACAGGAAAGGCAGGTTCTAGCAAGGAAGGGATGGAGTTTCGAAGAGAAGCTCAGAGGAGCAAGGTCTGAAATACTAGGTTTTCGGATGAACAGGAACAGTGGGTTTCGAATTTCTTTTAAAGAAGCTTGAAAACGTGGGAAAGAGAAGACACGGACGTGGAAAAGACAAGGCGTCATCTGATAAATGACTAGCTAGTAAAGAGCTAGTAACTGAACAGTTTCCCACGAACTCTAGCCCAGTGGGAAGACGTGGCAGACGTGGGATAACGGAAGAAACTGGCATGCGCCAATTTAATGGCCAATTCATTTAAGTCTGAAACCGTTCCAAAAACAATTCAGACTTAGGGGCCATTGTTTGGGCCTAAATTGAACGCACCTAGGGCTTTTGCAAAACGGAAGGCAAAGCCCAAAGTCCAGAGAGGCCCAGCCCAAGACTCATCAAAATGTGGCAAGCAAACTTGGGCCCCAAAAGAAAAGCAGTCACCTTTGGGCTCCAGACAAATCAGAATGGGCCCAGCATGATTAAAAGAAAAAAAGGAAGAGACCCATTTTCAGAACCCACGTGACTACCAAAATGGAAGAGTCAACAAACTCAACTGAGTTGATTGAGAATTAATTAAAGCAGGTCAGTGGCAAAAGGACTTCTCTGAATTTCTGCCACCAGAAGTTCAAAATCCTTCTTATATATTCAAAAATATTGATTTCACTCCAAGGAGGCACCATCATTTCAAAAGATACGCAGGCCATATTTTCAAAAAGGAAATAAGCAGGAGGACAGAGAGTTGTTCATCTGGGAAATCAAACTAACCATCATGGTTGAAATCTCACAAGGGGCAGTTAAATTGGGAAAAGGAATTAGGCTTCTTTTAAAAAAAAACAGGGAAGTGATTTCAAAGATTGATTGATAAAAGCCTATCTGACATAATTAAATTAAATCCTTCCCTCTCTTGTATCTCTTTGCAGATCTTTAAGAAGACTTGTCGCCCATTATTTTAAAGAAAGAAACCCTGCCCCTGTGCATTTCTTATAAAGAGGGAGTGAACAGAGTAGAAAAAAGAACACACTCAATTCATCAATCAAACAAACAACTCAAAAATCAACCAAAAGCTCATTTGAACTCCAAGAAAAACTACCTTTAGATTAGATTTCCCAAAGTTCAGACTTAACTATTCAAAACGAGATTTCTCTCGTTACAAATTTGGTTCAGCAAAGCCAAAACAAGCAGAGTTTGAGTTTTCTCAAATATGAAAACCTCAACAAATCTCACAGTGCAGTCTCTAGCTCACTAAATCCTCAAGAACAGCCACTTCTGCCCATTCAAACTGAAGAAGCTGCAGTTCTGCTCGCTCAAAAGCCTCTCAAAGCTTGAAGTAGATTAAAGCTCTGCCAAACTTGAACTTTGGTATCGATTTGTAGCTGAAGCTTAGCAGTTGAAGTTGTTAACAGTTCAGTTCAGCCCAGGCATATCGAGTCCAACCCGAATCAGAGTCTTCTATCCAGACAGAGATGCAGTTCCAGCTGTCTTTTTATCTTTCCAATGTTGACATGTATATTTATAGTTTTGTAAATGGCAGTTCTGCCTAAAACAGTCCAATTTCTATCAATTATTCTGGCCGGAACAACCGTTTTTATACTGAGATAAATTATGAAAGTCCTCACCAGTCTAAGGCAAGAAAGGAACTTACTTGGGAGATATTCCTCACCCAAATTCACAATCTTTTGTTTTAGAAATCAGTAACTTGGGGCGCAAGTTATTTATTCTAGAAGAAGTCTGCTAGAATCTTCATTGATAGCAGTGGCACGCTTATACACCAAAGAAAGCTAACTTGTTGAGCAGTCAATGGTTTCTAGGGCAGTGGGGAACTTTGCCCTTCCATCTCAGGAGTAAACACAAAATGAGGTGAACAATTTGGCGCACCTAGTGGGACTTCTCAGTATACATGCTCTGACAGATAACTTCTCAAGTTTATGAATATTGGAAGCTCTAGCCAGAACCCGTACCACGATATGGAGATAAACTAGGTAGCTCTCAGGGAAGGACTGGAGTCAGAAGAAAGTGATGCCAGGCAGTCAGCCCACGACAGTACAGGAAGCAGACATTCCAGGACCGGCTCAAGAGGGATAAATCAAATACAGGAATCTGTGCCTCGACAAGAGGTTACAACACAAAGAAGCCCAGATACTCTGAACAACATGACAGCCATGATGCAATGGCAGGTTAATTGGCAATTCAGGAAGGACCGTGAGGCTTCCATGGCCAGAATCCCAAATCCAGATGCTATAGTCCAGTAGCTAGACCTTCCTTATGGCCCTCCACCAGGATTAGCGTGGCCATACCAGGAAAACCCTCTCATTGCACAGATAGTTGGAATACCAGGGCATAGAGAGATTCAGGCTAGACAGAGGGGAGGAGCCCTTCCCGTCCAAGAACGTGAGGCCCTAGCCCGGCCAGAGGGCCCTGCACTAGTTCAGATTCAGCAGACTCAGCCTATTCCTCCTATCTCTCCGCCGTCACCTCAGCCCGCTACTCCGCCGGAATTTGGACCGGGCTGCCACAACCTTCGCACTCCGGAGCTTCCCCGCCGTCACCATCGAGCCTGCCTGACAGGACCCACCCCGAATTTCCCGGAACCCGAGACGAATCCTGCGGAGACCTCGGCATCACACCCATGCCGAGTTCACTCCTTAAAACTATGTCCTCTTTTACCAAAGAGGGTTAAGGGCCCGAGACTTTCTGCCGAAATTTCGGCAGAGTCTCCCCTGTAAATTGAACATTCCCCAAAATTTCCACCTGCATAAAACACATTTTATAACCCAACCGGCAGCACGCACAATATAATCTCATGCAATTTACATAAATGGCCTCCGGCCTTCAAATGATTCTAGCAGAACTGCCCACACTGTGTTTTTTAAAAAAAATAACTTAATGCATCAAACATGCATATAACAGATTTAAAATTTATTTATGCACACCTTCACTCACTCAGTCCACAGGACAAGCCTCAATTCAACCAAGGTTCAGGACCAACCACGAGGTCCGCATCGTACTCGATAAAACCACCTAAGTGGTGTCTAGGCCGTGGCTGCACCTAGGCGCTATCCCAGGCTGCCTACGTACCCTACTAAGGGATCAAGCCACACGTAGCTCTTTCGTATTAATCCTAGCTCCTGATATCAAATAAACCATTACAGCCATACAAATTCATACATTCTAAGATTTATCCATCACAACACACCAAACACAATCACATAGCTCCCCTTATACGACGGGACGCACCCGGCCTCATATGGGGTCTATCAACACACCGGCTACTCCTACGACACGTGCGACCTCAACCTTGGGCCTGGCTACATTCTCACCAGCCATCATACTGTTCGCTTTGGGCCTGGCTACATTCTCACCAGCCATCATACTGTTCACTTTGGGCTTGGCTACATTCTCACCAGCCATCATACTGTTCACTTTGGGCCTGGCTACATTCTCACCAGCCATCATACTGTTCACTTTGGGCCTGGCTACATTCTCACCAGCCATCATACTGTTCACTTTGGGCCTGGTTACATTCTCACCAACCATCATACTGTTCACTTTAGGCCTGGCTACATTCTCACTAGCCATCATACTGTTCCCTTTGGGCCTGGCTACATTCTCACCAGCTATCATACTGTTCCCTTTGGGCCTGGCTACATTCTCACCAGCCATCATACTGTTCGCTTTGGGCCTGGCTACATTCTCACCAGCCATCATACTGTTCGCTTTAGGCCTGGCTACATTCTCACCAGCCATCATATTGTTCACTTTGGGCCTGGCTACATTCTCACCAGCCATCATACTATCATATCTCTCCTCATACGTCGGGACATACCCGGCCACGTATGGGGTCTGTCAACATCCGAGGAGGTACATAGGGTAGTACGTAACCCAAAACCGGCCGAACCCTAACTCAATAATCAGATAATCTTGGGTCAAAATTAACGAAATCCTACCCATCCATCAGCTAGATCATGAGGAAAGGATAGATTTCCATACCTGGATCGCCAAAAATGGCCGCTGGACGACGGAGAACGAAGCCGGCGAAGTTTCGGGAGAAACCGAGCTTTTCTCTTCGATTTTCCGGCGAAATCTCGACGGCTGGCGGCGAGACCTGGCTGGGGTAGGTAGAGGACGGAAGCCCGGTCATTTTGGTACCGGCCCCGTCAACTTTGGTGACCGGATGAGCAAACGGCCGGCCAAAACGTGGCCGGCTGTGATGGCTGTCGCAAACTAGAGGAACGAGAGAGAGATGCGCGGGAGAGAGAGAGAGAGAGAAATGAGGGCAATTCTGTCTTTTAACAAAAACCCTTTTTGAAATATTTATGGTTGTGCCACTGGGGGTATTTGGATCGTATCTCTCTCGTTACAGCTCCTATTCAAGCCTACTACGCGTCTATGGACTCATCTCGTCGCGCTCTACGCAACGGTATAGCCGGAATTCCCAAATTCCTTTCGGATAAGAAATGACCAAATTACCCCTATCACCCGGGTAAATTCGTAATTTCGCTCAAATTAATTAAAACATGGGATAAATTTGGAGTCGGGGTGTTACACTGCTGCCGAAATTTGCTCGGTTTTCACCGAATCTTCGTTGGCCTCGTTCTCTCTTCTCTGGCCACCAAATCCGACACTTGAGGTATGGTTTCTGGACTATTTTTTCTGCTTTAGCTGATGGTTGGGTAGGATTTGATTAATTGTCGCAATAGGGCAATCGATTTTAAACCCTAAGTTTCCGCCGGTTTTTGAATTTAAATTCTGGCAAATTCCGGCCATTTTTCGGGGAAGGTCCGAGAACAATAGTGGCTCCAATTGATGTTTTCAATGTAGGGTAGGAACTTTGGCCCTTAGTTTTTTGAATTTTCCGGCGATTGTTATCGCTTTGGACTCCCACGTGCTGCTGGTGCGTGTGGTGGCGCATGGGATACTGTAGCAGTGGTGCATTGGGTCCCAGTGCAATCCCCTAGTTGTCACGAGCTCGTAGGTGTACTCAGATTGGAATTTGGTTACCGTTTGAGTGTCGAACGGATTTTGCCTATTGTGCGATTTTCGGGTTTGATATGTTCAGACAGTTGGATCAAACTCAAACTCACGTATGTTGTACCTTGTATTTCTAGGATCGTGTAGGATTCGACGGATCGTGGATCGGAGTCCCGGATACTCCGAACTCGCAAACCCTAGGTCAAGATATGCTTTTAATTAATTAGTTAAGAATCTTAAGAAAATTGTATGTGCTTACAAATATTCGTGTATTTTATTAATTTGTATGTGTATTAATGAAATTATGCAGATGTCAGACCTGATTAGACGTCGTAGGGCGATGACGACTGCACAGAGTTCGGAGCCCCCGACTCAGTCGTATCAACATTGAATACGACGAGCGACATCGGGCTGCACCGACTGCGAAGTTGCATAGCTCTTTGGCGCACTACATTGGTCATGTCGTGCGGACCCAATGCCCGATGCAATGGAAGTCTTGGAAGGTCATGCCTGAGGAGATCAAGACGGAGGTGTGCGGCCAGTTGTCGATCTGTATCATACCTTTTAATTCTTTTTCTTTCAAACTTTATATATTTGTATTACTTAATGTTTGTAATTAATTTATTGCAGACGAACTACAACTTGGAGGACCTCAATGACGAGTCGTTGACATACGTCAATAGACTCTTCTCTGAGAGGTACAAGCGGTGGAAGAGCGACTTGCACCACCATTTTGAGGCTTTTGATGATTCGGAAGTCGCTCTCCAGGAGGGTTGCCCGAAGGAGCTTGAGGGGCGGGAGGATAGTGGGGCGTGGCTTTGTGCTCATTTTCAGGCGCTCGATTTTGTGGTAATTTGTAATATGAAATTCAAATTTATTATATATTTCTTACTAATGTTTATTTAATTTTTTATATTTCATTTCAATTTCAACTAATACGTTTTATTTTTTGTATAACATAATAAATCCAAAGTCAATAAGGGCAATAGGAAGAAGAAGACTCTTCTCCACCATTCAGGTTCCAGGGCTTTCTCATATAGGATGGATGCACTGCGGCAGGTAATAATAAAATAATTTTTATTTAATTTTTAATATGTCATTATTCTTAATTTATTTTTTTCGTACAAATATTTTTCTTCTCTTGTTCAATTTAAAGGGGGGGGTCCAAATTCCCAAAGATTGACGTCTTTGGCGACGTTTATGTTCGACCTGGGAATGAGTTGACCCAATCCCTTCATGTAAGTATTACTTAATTTTAATTCTTATGTTGCGCATTCAAGTTTTAAGGTTATTATATGACTGTTTTAATTTATATTTTATGTTATGTTAAACAGACGACGATGGTGGAGAGGAGCCAGTTGGTTCTTCAGGAGTCCGCCTCCCAACTTCCTCCCGATACTCCGATCGAGTCTGTGGATCCTCCACAGGATGTTGGGTTTCAGATTTTGACGGAGACGTTGGATCAGACTCTCGGGTGGAGGCCGAGGACATATTGTCGAGGGATGGGGAATGCCCGGCGGAGGGAACCTAGACCCCGTTCATCAGCGCAATCAAATAGTCAGGTGAATGCTTTGACAGCACAGGTGGCCACTTTTCAGAGTCAGATGTCGGTGATTCTACAGTCCCTCGTGCAGTCCGGCATTCCAGTCTCGCATTTTGATGTGTTGACCTCCGAGCCCGTCCACCCCGAGCATCCCCACCAGACCACAGCCCCTGTAGACCCCCAGACCTCCGTGTCGCATATGCCAGACGACAATGTAGATTTTGGGACATTATTTGATTAGTTTTTTATTTTCATAATTATATTTTGAATATTTCTCTTGTAGTATACATTTATTTTATTTTATATAATAAATGAATTCTTTACAATTCATTTTTTTTTATTGCAATTTCATTCTTTACACTCGTCGCGCAAACGTTGGAGACACGAATTGTGCGACGAAGAACTCTTCGTGGCGCAAATGTTTGCGACACGAATCGCGCGACGAATATTATCTGTTGCGCCGTATTTTCACGATGAACCTTCTTTCATTACACAAAGGTTTGTGTGACGAACAGTTGTGTTGTCTCTAAACCTTTTGTGTAACGATGGTTAACCGTCGCTCAGTTTTGCGTGACGAATGCTAAAAATTGGTCTCGCAAAGTCTTTCTTCACGCTCTTTGCGTGACGAAATGTGCGCGACGAATTTTCTGTCGCGCTGAAGTTGGTGCTACTAAATGTGACGTTGCGAGGACTTCTTCGTTGCGCAAATCGTGAAATGTAGTAGTGTTGGTTTGGAAAATTCAGCTTTGACTCAAAAGCTTGCTTTAACGATGTGGAACATGCATTCTGAATGCTTTGTTCATAAACTCGGAGGGATCAGAGCAGCTCCTATGCACTTACATTGTCTAGTCCTTTGACATTGATCACTCACATAAGATGGGTTTAAAAATTGTAAGCGAGTTGGTAGGGGGAAAATGTGGTTTCCTTGCTCATGCAGACAATATAAATTTCCTACATCATCTTGTTACACAAGAGTGGATGGATTTTAGCAATCATACTCAACATATTGACAGAGTGGTGGAATCACCACAATATGTTACAAAAATTTGGATTAGACTTACAATCACAATGGAGGTCATTAGATATCTAGCAAATCAAGAAATGACTTTAAGAGGTAGTAAATAAATTGAGTTTATAAAACTTTTTAAAAAAATGAATGTAGAAGTTGAAAAAGCAGTTTTAGAGAATGCTCCTTGTGGGAACATGAATTTTAGCAGCTAATTAGAAGGTGACACGTGGATAAAGGAATATTCTATATGTCAAATAATTGTGCTAATTAAATCCTATTTAATTAGCCAATTATCCTTAATTTAAGATTTGAATATCTCCAAAAAATCAAGGATTCGATTCCTAGCAAATCTCCTTGATATTATCCTTGGTGCCACACTTACAGTCACAAATAATATGACTACCTAAAGGGGCCTTATTTATAGTGCATAAGTCCTCGGGTTAGATGACTACCTAAAGGGCCTTTTATCAAAGAAAAACTTCATTAGATAAACCTCAATAGTACAATTAAAGACATCAACATAACGTCTATAGTACCAATCCCAAGAAGGCAACAAAATAACATATTTAAAAAAACAAAAAAAACTAAACCAGACAAAAGGGGCACTAAAATATTAGCCCACATCACCACAATTAACCATAAGCCCAAACAAAGCTTACATACCGAACATAACTGAAACCTTAAAGCAACCCATGAGCCTAACAACTGCCACCTGAAGAAGCACCATTGCAGCCACACCTACCACCGCATTCGCAATAGATCTGGGGAGAACATGATTTACAGCGATCTACGTGTGCATAAGAGCGAACAAATAAATGAAAACAACTATCTTGACAAAGAACAATTGGGTGATTTGCAGCAACCTTCATCGAAAACGATGTAGATCCAAATTTAGAGAACATGAGTAGTGTTAGAGAGCAAATTTGTTTGAGAACGCCTAAAAAAGGTGATGGAGAACTTCAATATGAGAATAGCTTAGAAGAAATCACCACAAATGGACTTATTCATTAACCTAATAAAAAAGGGACTAGGAGAAAACAATAACTCCTTGCTGACATCATTGTGTTGATGACCGAAGAAATTTCTTTTAATTGTTGTCTCCACATGTCATGCAAGAAGGAAAAACAAAAAGGAACCTTATATTAAAATTAGCAAAGGGCCCAAGACTGGGCTTTTATGAGTATCAGCCTTGCTCATTAGGGGGTTGGGCTTTGATGGAGTTAGACCTTTTCTTTCTTTTTCTATTTTGTTTGTTTCTCAAGAAACGTAAGATTGAAAATCGGTCCATTTTGTTTTCTGCTCCTCTCTACTAAATGGTTCCTAAAGATTTATTTCAAGCCTAATGAGTGTTCTAAAGTTGCCAACGGGGTCTAGCCCAATAAAATGACTTTGAGTTGTAGACAAGGGGTCTCAAGTGCCCATGACACCGTAGTTGTGTGTGTGTGTGTGTTTGAAAAATCCCCTTCCGTTGTAGTTTAGACTCTAAAGTTCCTCAATAAAATTCTAATACCTTGGATATGTTTGTGTTGAATTTAGCTCACCAAAAGATGCAAGGAAGAAGAAGGAAGCAAGCAGAAAGTAGCAGGAAGAGTTCCTGCAGTGTTGCTGGTGCTCAGGAGGACGCATGAGGCACTTGAGGTGACGCATAAGGCACTTGAGAGGTAGAGAGACATTTTTTGCCCAGACACGGGCGCTCGAGCGACAGTCATGCAACCTGCGCGAACCCTTAGAGTTTTAGGTTGGGTTTTCCTATTATTTTTGGTTTTCTAGCCTAATTTAATATGGTTTTGGTTTCTTATTCCTAAGTTAATTAACTTGTAACCCAAGTCCTATACATTATAAATAAGACTTTTAGGGCTAGGTTAATGGGAAGAGAGGTAGACGAGAGAAAACTCAAGATTGAGAGTTTTCCAAGAGAATTCAAGAGGGTGAATTCTTGGGTGTTTACAAGGGCATCAGAGGATTTGAGTAAGGATGAGTGAAAAGAGAGCTAGGGTTATTGTGAGAGCTAAGAGGGTTCTTGATTGTAACCGAAAGTGTTCTTACATATTAGTGAATTTCTTGGGAGGATCACCAAGATGACGTAGGCACGAGGCCGAATTACTACAAATCTTTGTGTTCTTGTGTGTTTGCTTTACTCTCTTCATTGTGTGTGTGATTTATTCTCAAGGAGTTTGTTTGTGTGTGTCGTCGCATAGGCATCAACGACAAAGTCTTGGAGTATTTGTGCACAACAGTTTGCAGCCGGCTGCCAGCAGCTGATTTCTATATTATATTATACTATTTTATAATTCTTTATTAGAGTAATAAAACAGTTGCTAGAGCCTAGAGCCATTTCATTTTATAGGGCTTTGGATGAGTTGTTAGCAAGGTATGACAATTATGAACACTACCATACAACTGATGAAGCAACAATATCATAGCTTATGACAGTTGATGTTAAGAATATAAACAAACATTAAGAAAAGAAAATAGATTCATAGCTTAGAGAAACTTCCAAGTTACCCAATTAAAAAAGAAATATAAAGAAACAGAAACTGAGAGAATATTGATTGCCGGAAAGAAATGCCGACCAGGTTGAGAGAATATTCCCATCAGGAAAAAGACATGGCTCTACATCCTGTGTTATACATAGATGTAAAATGCCTGCTATAATCCGAACTCACCTTTACTTTCCTCATGGAGCTTCAATGGCCTTCTTTTCAGGTCCTGTTTACTTTTTCTCTATTTATGATTATGGCACTGAAAATAGTGAGGAGAGGCAAAACCAAAGACTCCGCTATAAATCTACCCCCAGGGCCATGGAAGCTACCTTTTATAGGAAACATACACCAGCTCGTTGGCTCTCAACCCCATCATGCACTACGAAGCTTGGCGAACAGATATGGACCTCTCATGCATCTAAGGCTGGGAGAAGTTTCGACCATAATTGTTTCGTCTGCGGAGTATGCTAAAGAAGTGATGAAAACCCATGATGTTATGTTTGCATCAAGGCCCCCTCTCCTTGCGTCAACGATCATGTCTTATGGTTCTACAAACATTGGCTTTGCTCCATATGGTGATTACTGGAGACAACTACGAAAAATTTGCACACTAGAGCTTCTAAGCCCAAAGCGTGTTCAAGGGTTCCGGCCTATTAGGGAAGAAGAGGCAATGAATCTCATGGAATGGATTGCTTTGAGAGAAGGATCGCCTATTAATCTCACTGAGGAAATTTACTCATCCACATATACCGTCACTTCCCGAGCAGCCTTTGGTAAAAAAAACAAAGATCATGAAAAATTCATATATGCTGTAAAGGAATCTATAAAGGTGGCAGCAGGCTTTGATCTTGCAGATGTTTTTCCTTCTGTCAAACTGCTTAATCTGATAGGTGGAATTAGGCCTAAACTTGAGAGGCTACATAAAGAAACTGACAGGATAATGGAAAACATCATCAAAGAACATAAAAAAGATAGAGCAACATCAGAAAGTGGTGAAGGTAAAGCAGAGGAAGACCTGGTAGATGTTCTCCTAAAATTTCACGAGCGTGGCAATGGCTTTGAGTTTTCTCTAACTACTGACAACATCAAAGCTGTAATCTTGGTAAGTATATGCACTTTCTTTTCATATCATGCTTTAATTAGTCAAACCAGTTTTCAACTATACTTAGTCAAACAATAAATTTCCATCTTTCGCTGTTTTGGGATCCCAAAAATCATATCCCGAAACACTTTTCTCAACACCAAACAACACACTTCCTTGACTTGACAACTAATTTGGTCTTCTCATCTCTAAGTATGGCACCTAATAAGCATAACAATCAGAAATCTGTAAAACAAAAATGTTAGCAACGATGCCAGCAAAATATGGCTTGGTCTTTCCCATCGATTTGACCTCTATGTACACTAAAATTGGATCATAATCTTGATATAGATATATAGATGAAAAAGTTGCCAATGCCACACTACAACATTTTAGGCTTTGCGCGACAAAGTAATCTTCGTCGCGCAAAGATGATTTTAGTCGCACATAATTATGCGCGACAGAAGTTTCGTCGCGCACCGTCCGTCGCGCAAAGATCGTGAAGAAAGGCTTTGCGCGACTCATAAATATCAGTCGTCGCGCAAAAAAGTGCGATGTATAACAACTTCGTTAAAAAAAACGTTTCGGGACGACCCAAATGTTCGTCGCACAAATCTTTGCACGACGAAAGGTTGGTCGTCGCAACAACAATGCGCAACGGAGGCTTCCGTCGCGCGAGATACATGAACTTTGCGCGACGAAACGATATTCATCGCGCAATTAGTCTTTGCACGACGAAAGAGTCGTCGCGCATACAAATTTCGCACGACGAGACAATTCATCGTGCATACAAATTTCGCGCGACAAAATAATTCGTCGCGCATGATTAAAATATATTTGTCAACGGATTTTTTTAAATGATTTTGCGCGACGATTTACGTTTCGTCGCGCAAAAGTAATATATATTATAAAAAAAATTATTATTATTTGTTTTTTAATTTTGTAAAAAAATAAATTTGGTTTTTTTATATAATTAAAATGAAATTACAATAAAAAGATTAATCGTAAAGAAAACATTTATTATATAAAATAAAAGAAATATATACAAGAGAAATATTTTAAAAGTAATTATAAAAATAAAAAACTAATCAAATAATGTTCCAAAATCTACTTGGTCATCTGCCACATGCGGCTCGGAGGTCTGGGCGTCTGCAGAGGCCGTGGTGTGCTGGGGATGCTCGGGGTGGACGGGCTCGGAGGTCGACGCACCAAAATTCGGGATTGGAATGTTGGACCGCGCAAGGGATTGCAGAATCACCGACATCTGACCCTCAAGCTCGGCAACTCGCGATGTCAAAACAGTCACCTGACTGTTTGCCTGCGACGATGACCGCGGTCGAGGTTCCCTCTGTCGGGCATTCCCCATCCCCCTACAATACATTCCCGGCCTCCTCCCGAGAGTCTGATCCAACGTCTGTGTCAAAATCTGAAATCCAGCATCATGCGGAGGATCCACAGACTCGATCGGAGTCTCGGGAGGAAGTTGGGAGGCGGACTCTTGAAGTGTAACATAAGAATTAAAATTAAATAATACTTACATGAAGGGACTCGGCCAACTCATTCCCAGGTCGAACATAAACGTCACCAAAGACGTCGATCTCTGGGAATTTCGTCCCCCCCTTAATTGAACAAGAGAAGGAAAATATTAGTATGAACAAAATAAATTAATAATAATGACGTATTAAAAATTAAATATAAATTATATTATTCTTACCCGACACCGTGCATCCATCCTATATGAGAAGGGCCTGGAGCCGGAATGGTGGAGAAGAGTCTTCCTCTTCCTATTGCCCTTATTCACTTGGGCTTTATTCTGTTATACAAAAAATAAAACGTAATAGTTGAAATATAAATAAATTAAATAATAATGAGATATAAAAAATAAAATAAACTTTAATAAGAAATATGTAATAATTAAACAAATGTTATTAAAAAAATACCACATAATCGGGCGCCTGAAAATGAGCGCAGAGCCACGCCCAACTATCCTCCCGCCCCTCAAGCTCCTTTGGGCAACCCTCCTGAAGAGCGACTTGCGGATCATCAAACGCCTGAAAATGGTGGTGCAAGTCGCTCTTCCACTGCTTGTACCTCTCACCGAAGAGTTTGTTGACGTACGCCAAGGTCTCCTCGTTGAGGTCCTCTAAGTGGTAGTTCGTCTGCAATAAATTCATTACATACATTAAGTAATAGAAATATATAAAGTTTGAAAGAAAAATAATTAAAAAATAGGAAACATACCGACAACTGGCCGCGAACTTGCATCTTGATCTCGTCAGGCATGACCTTCCAGGACTTCCATTGCATCGGGCAATGGGTCCGAACGACGTGGCCAATGTCGTGGGCCAAGGAGCTATGCAAGTCCGCCGTCGGTGCAACCCGATGGCGCTTGTCATATCTGATGCTGATACGACTGTTGGTCACCCGGGTGACCTTCGCCGTCTTCAGCTGCCGACACGGCCCTCGGGTGTTCCTCTTGGCTGCAAAGGGATATGACAATACTGTTAAATAAATAACAAATTGAACCATAAAATTCCCAATTAAAAAAATTTTAAAAACAAAAAAACGAAAGTGGAATGGTATATATACCTGGCGGTGCCCTCGAGGCACCAGTACCGTAGGTCGATGTGGTGTCGGTGGTGGTAGCGGGCCGGTGTCGCCGCCTAGCGCTAAGAGGCTGCACCACCGAAGAAGATGATGATGCAGGCGCCTGGGATCCCCCAGGACCAGCTAGCAGGTGGTCCTGCTCCATCAGTCGTCACCGCCCTACGACGTCTAATCAAGTCTGACATCTGCATAATTTCATTAATCAAATTTAGCACATACAATGTCATTAAAAAATGGAACTAATTAATTAAAGTCATAGTTTGACCTAGGGTTTGCGATTTCGGAGTATCCGGGACTCCGATCCACGATCCGTCGAGTCCTAAACGATCCTATAAATACATGGTACCACATACGTGAGTTTCAGCTCGATCCAACGGTCTGAACATATCAAACCCGGAAATCGCACAATAGGCAAAATCCGTTTGAGACTCAAACGGTAACCAAATTCCAATCCGAGCACACCTACGCGCTCGTGACAACGAAATGTTTGCACTGGGACCCAATGCCCTATGCCACAGTACCCCACGCGCCACCACACGCTCCGGCAGTGCGTGGGTGCCCAAAGCGATAACAATCACCGGGAAATCCTAAAAAATAAGGGCCAAGGTTCCAACCCTAGGTTCAAAACATCAATTGGAGGCACTTTTGTTCTCGGACCTACCCCGAAAAACGGCCGGAAGTGGCCGGAATTTCAATTTCAAAACCAGTCGAAACCTAGGGTTTCAAATTCACTACCCTATGCATACAATCAATCAAATCCTACCCAACCATCAGCTAAAGCATCAAAAATAGTCCAAAAAGCATGCCTCAATTGCCAGATTTGGTGCCTGAAGGAGAGAGAACAACGGCGGCGAAGATTCGGCCTAAATGGAGGAAATCACGGCGGCAGGATGGACGGTGACGGCGAAGAAGCTCCAGGGTTCGACGCTTGTGGCGGCAGGGTCTGAATTGGGGCGGAGTAGGGGATGAGGTCACGGCAGAGAGAAAGGGAGGTTTTAGGGTTCAAGTTTGAGAAACTGGGGAAGAAGGAGAAGATCGCGATTTTCAGAAAACTTATTCGACTTTGCACGACGAAAAAAATAACATTTCCGTCGCACAATGTCGCATGTCCGCCAAAATTTGGGATTGGGGTTTAGGGTTGGCAATTTTGCGCAACGAAAGAACTTGTTTCGTCGCGCAAGGTTCTGAAAATATCACCTTTGCGCGACGTAAAGACCTAGTTTCGTCGCGCAAGTTTGTCCAGCCGCCTAAATTTTGGGATTTAATTTTGCATGGGGAAGATAAATGAAATGACATTGCGCGACAAAAGTACCGTTCGTCGCGCAAGCTGTGATTGTGCCATGGGTTTGCGCGACGGAGGTTACTAATATTGCGCGACGAAAGTACCTTTCGTCGCGCAAGATATATTTGTGCCAAAAAAAATTCGCTAAGTGTTGGGACGGAGATGGGCTGAAATTCCTTCATGGGTTTGCGCGACGAAGGGTGCTTGTGTCGTTGCGCAAGGTAGATTTTTGCCGAAAAAAATTCCCTAAGTGTTGGAGCAGAGATGGGCTAAAATTCTGTCATGTTTTTGTGCGACGAAGGGGGCTTGTGTTCGTCGTGCAAGCTAGATTTTTGCCCAAAAAAATTCCCTAAGTGTTGGAGCGGACATGGGCTAAAATTCTTTCTCACATTGCGCGACGAATGCAATGTGAATTCGTTGCGAAGGATTTTCTTTGCGCGACGAATTCAATGTGAATTCGTCGCGCAAACCCATACCCTTGTATCGTAAACCCTAAAACCTATACCCTAAGCCCTAAACCCTAACTCCTGAACTAGTTTGAATGATCCAACCGGCAATCTTCTTTTTTTATAGTTCGAGTTCGTATACGTCGAAAATCAGAATGAATGAACATTCAAAGATTGAGTAACGGGACAAAACTTTTCGACAGTTCTAAACAAATTGTCCCGATTCAACGGTGATTTTAACTCCGATTTTGAAAATTTTTTACAGCTGCGGTTCTTGACCCTATATGAATACATAGATGCAATTTGATCTTCAATTTCAGATATTTACAGTACAGGACATCACATAATCTTATGTTATATTGAATGAATGTATAAATAAATTCTTCATTTTTGGTGAATATTGTGTTTTGATGGAATACGCATTCTAGGAAACTAGTTTCAGTAATCCAGCCGTCAAATTTGTTTGTTTATACTTTGAGATCGTATACGTCGAAAATTAGAAAAAAAAACATTCAGAGATCAAGTAACGGGACAAAACTTTTCGACGGTTATAAACGAAAAGTCATGATTTAACGGTTATTTTGACTCTGATTTTGATGATTTTTTACAGCTACACTGTTTAACCCTATGTGAATACAGTGAACTACTTCGATCGTCAATTTCAAATATATACGTGTGTATATATCAAAAATATATATATGTATGTTTGCGCGACGAGGTACTCTTGTTCGTTGCGCAAAATTTTGCTTGCGCGACGGAATTATTTGTTGCGCAAAATTTAGAGTGTGCGCGACGTGTATATATTCCGTCGCGCAAAAAATTTGCGCGACGATGATGCCTTCGTCGTGCAAGGTTATTTTCATTCACATATTATTAAGCTGAATTATTCATCATTATATATAATTAATTGTATGAAAGTATGATTTATTCTATTTTCTTTTTATTTGAGAATTGAAGGATTGTTGATTCTGTGAGTTCAAATGAAAGAAAGTTTTTTAGATAATCTTTTTTTCTTTTTATTCATTTTTTCGGTTATATGATTTTCATTTTTTAAAAGTTTTTTGTCAAAATAAATTTAAACTTTATTATTAAAATTACTTGGATATATTGATTTACCAATGGTTTATAACTACATTTATTTTAATAATGTTTCATTTCTCCACATATATAATGTTTGGATATAACAAGTACATATATCAAAACATTTGCATTACACAAAATATGTCCACTAACATAATAAAATTACAAAAAAAATTCGTCATTCATCATCTAAACTATAATAACTTTCGTTATCGTCGCTATCATCACTTTCGGTCTCCCAATCCTCTTCCTCCTCCTCCTCATCCGCCTCCTCTATAACTACATCATCGTTGTTGCTCGGGCCAACTGCAACATCGTATCGCTGCAGATCACCGAGGTCAATTGTAATTGACTGAATCGGTATTTCGATTGAAGACACTCCTTGTATTTGAAATGGCTCTTGTATAAAATTTGTATCTCGAAGTGTTTCCGCATCATTTTCCATTGAAGATTCTAAACGTTGGTCAGCCACATTGTCGACGTCGTTGTCAGTTGGGTCTAGTTCTGGTATAGCATACACGTTCCTATGATCCATATTTTGAACAACGTTCCAACCGCTTCCAGCTTTAGGGTCATCTAGATACACAATTTGTGTTGCCATGTTTGCCAAAATATAAGGGTCGTCATCATACCAAGTTCTGTTCATGTTCACAGATAGTAAGCCATGATCGATTTTAACACTTCCCGGCCTATTTGGGTTGGTGTCAAACCATCGACACTTAAACATGATCACTTGGTATCGATCTTTGTAAAGCAATTGCACGACAGTTGTGAGTTTGCCATAGAAATCAATGTTCATACTTTCGCCTCCACCTGGGACATGGACACCGCTGTTTTGCGTACACAACTTGTCATCTCGTGCAACCCCCCAAAAATTTGACGCCGTTGACATTACAACCCGAGAACAATTCAGCGCGAATCGGCCCGAACGCCAAGTTATATAACTCATCACTGTAAGTTGGGGAATTCGATGATTTCAACTTATTCACCTAATATTATACAAAACCATTCACATGTTAGTCTGACAAAATTAAAAACTACAATTTATATTTCTCAAATAACAAACACTGATAACTTACAGAATCCAAAAACCATTGTGGAAACAATTCACGGTGTTTCTGGGCAACCAAATGTGATGGATGTTCTCACTTCATCATCTCTTCATGCTCATATAAGTATCCCATGATCTCATCACAATTGTTTAGTACGAACCAATGCGCTACCTCCATGTCATTTCTAGAAAACGACTCTCCTCGTCTAGGATCTCCAAAGGGTCGTGCGCTTTGGGCAAAAACAGAAAGTTTTTCATTTCTCATACCTCCGTCATGATTGCGCTGAGGACGATTGAAAACCGTCTCCACATCTTTTAAATACATTCCGCAGAAAGTAAGCGACTCATATTGAACCCAAGCCTCTACAATTGATCCTTCGGGCTTCGCCGTGATGTTGACTTTCAGCTCTCCGAGAAGCCTGCCAAAATAAAACGATATGATACAAATTAGCAAGCATGTGATAATAATGCATACACAAACGATAAGGATTATATACCTTTCTATTGGATACATCCAGCGATAGTTGACAGGACCAGCAAGCAATGCCTCTTCTGGCAAGTAAACCATCACGTGCATCATACTTGTGAAGAAAGCTGGAGGAAATATCATCTCAAACTTGCATAGGACTTGGACAATGTCATGGCGCAACTGAAACATGTCCGTTTTTCGCAAAGTTTTTGCCGTTAGTTGGGAAAAAAATCTGGACAACAAAATGATTGGCTTCACTACATCTTCCAGCAATAGGTGTCGAATACCCACAGGAAGAAGGCGTTGCATAAACACATGACAGTCATGGCTCTTAAGTCTAGTAAATTTACCCCCGTCAACATTCACACAACGTGCGATATTAGAAGCATACCCATCGGGAAACTTTACAGACGATACAAACTTTAGAAACTCTTTCTTGTCATTCGGTTTCATAGAAAAGAATGCAAGATCCCTTCTAGCTTTATCATTGTCCCTATTCATCCATAAACCCCTTCGTATGCCCATTCTTTCCAAATCAAGACGAGCCTTGATCGTGTCCTTTGTCTTCCCCTCGATATCTAGAATCTTGCCCACCAATGTGTTGAATACATTTTTCTCAACATGCATCACATCTAGATTGTGCCTCAATTTGAGTTTCGACCAATATGGGAGCTCAAAAAACATAGGCTTGTGCGTCCAGTTCATATGTGTAGAAAGTCTTATACGACTAACTGTTTTCCCGAAGGGAGCAAAATCCAACCGGTGAAGCTGGTCCAATATCTCATCACCAGACCATTCTCTAGGTCTAAAGCGACGCTCTGTGTTCCCGTCGAACTCTTTATCTTTTTCCCTCCACTCATGGTCCCATGGCAACCATCTCTGATGACCAAGGTAACAAACTTTTCCAGCGTGCCAACCAGAAGTTACATCTTCCTTGCATACAGGACATGCCATATAACCTTTTGTGCTCCACCCAGAAACCATTGCATATGCTGGGAAATAATTCACAGTCCACATAACTGCTGCCCGCAAAGTGAACATCTTCCCAGTTGATTTATCGTACGTGCGAACACCGTTTGTTTATAAATCCTTCAGCTCATCAACCAGCGGCCTTAAGTAAACATCGATTGACCTCCCAGGATCCTCAGTTATCAAAACAGTCATCATCATGTATTCTTTTTTCATGCATTTCCAAGGCGGCAAATTATATGGGAATACGAAAATCGGCCAAGTGCTGTGGTGTTGGTTTAGAACCCCATACGGATTGAATCCATCAGTGGCAAGTCCCAATCTAACATTTCGGGGATCAGCAGCAAACTCGGGGAACGTTCGATCGAACTCTTTCCATGCCTCCCAATCTGCAGGATGCCGCATCACATCATCGTCTACCCGTTTTTCCTTATGCCATCTCATGTCTGTGGCAGTATGCGTCGACATATACAATCGCTGCAACCTAGGTTTCAGGGGCAGATAACGCATGACTTTTTATGGGATCTTAGTCATCCTATTCTGAGATGTCATCTTGAACCTCGACTCATTGCATATAGGACATGTATCCAACGATTCATGCTCTTTTGCAAACATGGATTTTTTCATAACCCAATCCCAGACCATTCAACACCTTTTGCGCCTGTTTATGGTCTTTCGGCAAACAATTGTCCGTCGGAAGCATTCTCTTGAAAACCCCTAAAAAGTAATCAAAACACAGGTTCGACATACGATACTTTATTTTTCCATGCATTAGCTCCACAATGGCCGTGAGAACGGAAAAGCTCTCACACCCCGAGTATAACTCTTGGTTGGCATTTTTTAACAATTTTTCATATTGTTCAAACTCCGCACTGTCTATTGGTGTAGGCACATCATCTTGCTCTTCTTGATTCATGTTGGTCGATGCAAATGGAAAAATATCCTGTATAATATCCATGACTTGATCATTAGCATCCACAATAGGTTGAACAGTGTCCACTCTTGTGGCATTTGAAGATGAAGCATGCTCTAATTGTTCCCTGTGAAGGTTCCAAATGCTATATGTCTCAATCATTCCATTCCTTACTAAATGAAATCCAACATTTTGAATTGTATGCCATAACGTGTTGTTGCACCTCCTACAAGGACAACGGATTCTAGTTGCACCCGGGTTGTGTCTACGTGCAAACTCAATAAAATTCTCGATTCCATCCAAGTATTCATTTGCGCATCTGTTCGGGTTCTGTATCCACCTTCTGTCCATAATTCCTGAAACCAGAATCACAACATAACAATCACAACAACTTCATACGAAGTTATAATGTCACCTTATGCCTCCGGTAAGGGTCCTATCCCATTCGGGAATGCATACTCCTACCACGTAACCTACGGCTACATGAGATTAGATTTCGACGTGGATGAATTTCGCCAGCATCTCGCTACAGTTCTTGAGGTGGCCATAGGTATAAATACCTACGTACCACCCGAAGAACGTACTGAGATGACATCGAAATCTCCACAATCGAAACCTAATCCTGTAGCCGTAGATTACGTGACAACACTATGCATTACCAAACTGTCCAAATAATGGGACAATTCAAGAATTAATTGGACTGCAATCATGCATTACGCATTCATGCACGAAATCCAACTAATCTCGAACGAGAAACTAAGGGGGGTGTATCCAATTCAAACTTTTAATGACTTTTATAGAGTTTAAAAGTCTAGAGGTATTCAATTTGGACTTTTAAAGAGTATATAAAAGTCTTGTAGTATTCAATTGTGACTTTTAAAAAGTATTTAAAAGTTCGGTGGTATTCAGTTATGACTTTTAAAAAGTATTTAAAAGTTCGGTGGTATCCAAAAAGTTAAAGACTTTTGAAAAGCTTATTAAATGAATGACTTTTCCATACTTTTAAGGCTCATTGTTAAGAGCAAAAGTCTTGCCAATTTACTAGTGACTTTTATCAACTCTATGAGAGTGTTACTAAACAGAAAAATAAAAGTACGAAGTTAATTTCAATTAACTTCGTACATCACAACAGATTGTGCTACGTTACACACAATTTAACAACATAATATAAATATAACTTCACAAGAAAATTTTAAACATAACAAACTAACTTTAACATTATTAATATATAAAACGAATAAAATACCTTCTCAATCGTTCTCCACAAATCGATAATTACAAATATCCCTAACGAAAACAAAATAAAAAGCCTTAGTACGAATTTAAATTAATACTTTTAAACTAATGACGAAAAATATTTACCAAATCAATGTATTGAAGTCCCAGCAGCGGCAGAGAGGTTGAGAGAGAGGCAGAGGCAGAATGCTTTTTTTTTGCATTCTGCCTCTGCAATGGTAGAATTCTAATATGAAGAAGAAGGACTTTGCGTGACGAATACATAATTTCGTTGCGCAAACTTCCATCGCAAAAAAACACATATTCTGTCACGCAAACCAATTTTTTCGTCGCGCAATCACCTGCCGACATCTAACTTTTGCGCGACGCAGGTGTTTTCCGTCGCGCAAACTTTCGTCGCCCAATATCGTTGCGCAAAAACAACATTCCATCGCGCAAAAACCAAATTTCGTCGCGCAAATGTGGAACTTTGCGCGACGAAGAATATGTACGTCGTGCAAAAAAAAATATCCCAACCAAGTAATTTTGGCGCCAAAAATAAAATATCCCTCGTTCTCTTACACGACGAAACTCCTTCCCGTCGCGCTAAGCTGTCTTTTGCAACGAAGAGTTTCGTCACACAAGTTTTTACCGCCAAATAAAGGGACCCACTGGTTTCTGTCCATTTTTGCGTGATGAATCAGAATACCGTCGCGCTAGGTTGTCTTAAGCGACGATATTTCTCGTCGCGCAAATGTTTCGCGCCAAAAAAATTTTCCCCCGCTCTTTTTAATTCTGTTTGTGCGACGACGAGTTTTTTGGTCGCGCAAAGAGATTTCGTGCAACAAAAAATTTGGTCGCGAAAATTTTCAGTTGTTTGCGCCACGAATATTTTCTTTCGTCGTGCCAGTATGTTTTGCGCGACGAATTATTCTTCGTCGCGCAAACTTTCGTCGCGCAAATGGTAAAACGTAGTAGTGCCAATATGGATTCGAATTGTGCATTATTAACTTGAAGTGTTGTTGACACCCTGAGATCTGTTTTTATTATGTGTGATTGACTGAAGTGAGCATTCCACACGTGTCTATTGTTTTCGTCCATGTCAATAGACATTCTTCATGAAACTTAAGAAACTCTTAAAGCCTAAAAGTCAACATCATAACATTAACTTGTAAGTCTACTTGGGTTAAGAACAAAGGTTTTTTCTTTAATTAAGATGATAAATATAGTTGATTTTTCTTTAATTAGAATGGTTTGCAGTTTGTAGAAGAAATTAGTCTTTAGTATTTTTTTACTAATTAATCATTTTCAGGACATTTTTGGTGCCGGGAGTGAGACATCAGCTACAGCTGTAGATTGGGCAATGTCAGAAATGATAAAGAATCCCAGAATAATGAAAATAGCACAGGATGAGGTGAGGGAAGTGTTCAATACAAAAGGTCAGGTAGATGAAACATGCATTAGAGAGATGAAATATTTAAACTCAGTGATTAAAGAGACCCTGAGGTTACATCCTCCTGCTCCCCTCTTACTTCCAAGAGAATGCAGAGAAAGTTGTGAGATTAATGGATATGAAATACCTGTCAGAACCAAGGTCATTGTCAATGGATGGGCAATTAGTAGAGATCCCAATTACTGGACTGAACCTGAGATATTTTACCCAGAGAGGTTCCTTGATAGCGCCATTGACTACAAGGGAACCAACTTTGAGTATATCCCATTTGGTTCTGGAAGGAGAATATGCCCTGGCATATCATATGGCCTGGCCAACGTTGAGCTCCCGCTTGCATTTTTGTTATACCATTTTGATTGGAAACTCCCAAATGGAAAAAATCATGAAGATCTGGACATGACCGAGGCTTTTGGTATTACAGTCCGAAGGAAAGAAGATCTGCTCTTGATTCCCATTCCTTATCATCCTCCGCCTACTGAAAAATTGCATGAATAAAACAAAGTAAAGTCTGTTTGTTTATGTTATCCCATGCTATAAGGATTACAATGCGTTGTAGTCGCATCATAGCAATCAAAGAATTAGAACCATATCAATTCATCTACTATAATCATGAGCAAATTTGAAGAGCTGCATATATACTTTTTAGTCCTGGATTTGAAAACACTAGGGTCTTTTTGCTGATTTCCTGATGTTTAACTAAATACCAAAAATTATAGTCCATAGAACAGAGAGTAATGGACCGGACCAAACCACCAAAATCATTATGCTGTGCTCCACGTCTACAAGCAGTAATGCTATGAGCTCCAAATTATTTTTGGTCAAATGAAATGGCTTTTCTCTTCTCCGATATAGAAACAAACAAAAAATTAAAAAAAAAAAAAAAAAATTAAAAAAAAAAAAAAAAAAAAAAAAAAAACCCATAGGTACCTAAAACGATCAAAAAAGTCAACATGTAGGAATAGGGAGAGATCGAAAGATAACCCTATAAGTAACATGCCGGAATCCACCAAAGAAATTAAGAAAACCTCAAATATATTGATGAAAATAAGATGAATAATTCAGCATGCTCCAACGCATTCCTTTTATACAAGAGAAACCCTAGACTTGCTATGAAAGTTAATTAGAAAACAAAAAGGAAAATAATAAAAGTTTCCCAAAATATTCTAAAACTTTAAAAGCTGAAAAGTCATAGTAAATGATAGAATTTGGCTAAAATAGCCCATACTTCGCAATGAAATAGTGAGTTATACTTGTCACGCCATTCTCTTCGAAACAATAGGTCATGTGCCCAATTCTAAGCTTGAGGCCCATACTTGCACAAATTGGGCTTTTCTGCCATGACGACGTTGCGAGCCTATCTAGCTGTCCCTCGATCAATTTGGCCAAGTGTTCTACATCAGTCCTTTCTACTTTGGAAGAACTCGACCTCGAGTTATGTTCTGGATAGAGCGGATCATCTTCATAGAATGCATATAGGTCAGCAACATTAAAAGTGCTTGAAATCTCCATGGATGAGGGCAAATCCACAATATAAGCATTGTCGTTGATCTTCTTTAGAATCTTGTAGGGGCCATATTTGCAGGCCTGTAACTTATGATAAGTACCCACTGGAAACCTCTCCTTTTTCAGATAGACCATGACGGAGTCGCCTTCATTAAACACCTTGACTCACCTATGTTTGTCTGCGATGGTTTTGTATTTAGCATTGGTTTTCTCCAACCTCTCCTTTACCTCATTCTTCACGGTCTTGAAGTTTTCTGCCATATGCTCAGTTGTGGTACTTACACCATAGGCCTTGGGTAGCTTCACTAAATCAATTACATGGTTAGGAACTGAAGTGTAAACCAAAGAGATATGTGATTTTCCTGTGACACTGTGAACAACGTTGTTATAAGCAAATTCCACTTGACGCAGTGCCACAAATGCTACAGATCATGTTACCCAAAGTTCTATTGGTAACTTCTGTCTGGCCATCAGTTTGGGGATGTGCGGTACTACTGCAATTAAGGGCGGTTCCAAACATCTTCCACAAAGTAACCTAAAAGAGATTGAGGAACTTGGTGTCACGTTCAGAGGTGATGGATTTGGGCATGCCATGCAAATTAACAACCTCCTTGAAAAAATAGTTTGGCTATGCTAGCAGCATGATTTGTCTTCTTGCATGTGATGAAGTGTGCCATCTTGGAGAAAATGTCAACAAAAAAAGAAAAAGAAAAAGGAATCTACTCCTCTTTATGTACTGGTGAGTCCCAACACGAAGTCCATGGAAAGGTCCTGCCAAATATCATTAAGCACAAGCAAAGGCAGGCAAAGACCAGCTGCATTTAGAGCCTGACCCTTAGACACTTGACAAGTGTAACACTTTTGCACGATCTTTCCCACGTCCTTTTTGAATTGTGGCCAATAATATTGCTCAACCATGCCAACAATTGTTTTGTCTCTTCCCAAGTGTCTACTCAGGCTGCCTCCATGTAAATCTCGAATTACCTTCTCCCTTAAGGATGTCTCAAAAATATAGAGTTTGTTGCCCTTAAACAAATAACCATCAATGAGGTGAAAATCTATAAAAGGTTGGTTATGAACACACTTGGACCAAATCTCCTTAAAGTCTTTATCGACTTCATATAGCTCATTTAAGAACTAAAATCCCACAACCTCTTGAGCCACTGTAACTAGTATGTTTGCTTTTCCACTCAAAGCATCCACCACAAAATTAAGGGTACCTGATTTATGTTTAATCACAAAATGGAATTTATGTAGGAAGGTACTCTACCTTATATGCATCTTGCTCACGGATTTGTAACTGTTGAGGAACTTCAGGGCCTGGTGATATGTGTATAGTACAAATTCACGTTGCACCAAGTAGTGCCTCCACTATTTCAAAGCACAAACCACTGCATAAAATTCTTGTTTGTAAAAGGCCACTGGTTTCTTCTCTTGAGACAAAAATTCACCTACTCCCACCCCATTTGTATCACATTCGACCTCGAATATCTTCTCAAAGTTAGGAAGGGCTAGGACTGGGGCGGTGCATAGCTTGTGCTTAATGAGGGCAAAGCTCTTCTCTTGCTCATCATCCCATTGAAACATTCCTTGCTTTAAACACTCAATGACGGGTGCATTAATGGTGCTAGAATCATGAACAAACCTTCAATAAAAGGTAGCCAACCCATGAAAGCTTCGTAGCTCGCTTATTGTTCCCAAGGTAGGCTAGTCACTAATAGCTTGCACCTTCTCATCATCAACATGAATGACATCCTTGCCAACAACATAACCTAGAAAGATTAATTTATTGGTGCAAAAATTACACTGTTTTAGGTTGATAAAAAGTTGGTTTTCTTCCAAAACTCGAAGGACTTGTTTCAACTGCTCCAAATGTTCTTCCTTGGTTCGACTATAAATCAAAATATTATCAAAATACACCACAATGAAAGAACCAATAAAAGGACGAAGAACCTAGTTCATAAGGCGCATAGAAGTTCTTGATGCATCTGATAAGATAAAAGGAAGCACCATCCACTTGTGCAAGCCATCCTTAATTTTGAGTGCAGTTTTCCACTCATCACCCGACTTGATGCGAATCTGATGGTAGCCACCTTCGAAGATTTATCTTCAAAAACACCTTAGAACCCTCCAACACATCTAGCATGTCTTCCAACTGTGGAATTGGAAATCTGTATTTGATAGTAATTTTGTTCATCTCCCTACTATCAATACACATACGACATGTTTTGTCTTTCTTAGGCACCAGCAATACTGGGACTGCGCAAGGACTCATGCTCTCATGAATAAACCCCTTTTACAGCAACTCTTCTATCTTCTCTCGTAGAATGTCATTCTCCTTGGGACACATGCATTAGGGAGACTTGCTCTAGGCACCAAATCAATCTGATGTTGGATATCCCTCATGGGAGGTAGTTGGTTGGGTAGGTCATCAACAATTAACTCCTTGAACCCCTGCAAATTTTTATGCACTTATTTTGGGATTTCAACTATCTCAAGTATGACAGCTAATAACCCTTTCATTACCACGGGATAAATTGTTTTTGCATCTTCAACGGCTTCTAAACAATCACGTTCATTTCTAATTATGGAGAGGAAACTGGAATTCGTTGATGATTTCTTAGGTTTGCTAGAGTCGTTCACAGGAGCCATAGCAATTTTATGAGATCTCTAATTGAAAACATACACATTATCACGTCCCTTGTGAGTGGCATATGTATCAAAGTCTTCCCAACACAATGTGACTAGCATCCATATCAATAATATCACAAATAACCTCGGACTTGTAATGCTTACAAATGGATAACAGTACCTTGCAAACTTTTATCACCTGAACTAAAGGGCCTATCTTCACCCATCTCAAGGAATAAGGTGATTCATGCTTCTCTATTGGCAACTTTAAATAATCCACGACCTTTTTAGATATGAGATTCTCGCAGCTACTACCATCAATTGCACACCTTGTTGTTGACGGTATAAAAAGATGAGAAGATCTTATGCCGATACCCTTCCTCTTGTCTTATTGTGAGTAACACCCATTGCAAGACTAGGTTAATTACTTTGTTGCTTTCCTCATTGGTGAATTCAGCTTTTTCATACTCTTCATCAGCACCGTGATCTTCATTGTCATCCTCATTTGCTTAAGCCAAGTTAACTTGCTGACAATTGGGACAATAGTTGGATTTGTGGCCCTGTTTGCTGCAACAATAACAGTGATCTCCATAAGGTTTTTCATAAGTCTTTGGAAATAACCCTTACGCCAGTATGGCTACTGTCTTCTGCTGCTCCTTTGTGCCCTGCCATTTGTTTGTAATATTATTCCCAGGAACTTGTGCAACTTCTTTATCTTTGTCTTTTGCAGGGATAGGTGAATTGGCAGATTTGTTCTAAAAATTGCCAAAACTCGATTGTCTCTCATTCTCCATAGCCTCCATCTTGAGGGCCATGCTATTGGCCTCTTGCACAGTCTAGAAAGTCTGCACTATTGGATAGAAGGTTTAAGCGCATTCATGTACCTTGCCACTTGTTGACTATTGGTTTTATCTAGGCTATTACGTTCTGTGAGGCCAAGAATTCAGATGTATTCTCTGCCGCCGTCCTATGGCCTTGGATGAAATTGTGGTAAAGGTGGTATAAATATTGCTAAAAGTTTTCCAGGAGGAATCCGTCCATCATTAATGCTTCATCCATTGTGAAGTCAGCACATGAGCTTTGCGTTGCCTTTGGCGGGTCTTCTATAATTGATTCCACCATACTGCAGCATTTCCTTTGGGATGAAAAGCTGTTAGCTTCACCATCTTTGCCTCAGGGACTTCCATAAGTTCAAAGAACCTCTCCACTACAACAAGCCAATCCAAGAAATCTTCAACTTGTAAGTGCCCATTGAAATATGGAATTTCAGTCTTCATGCGATAGTCTTTTTTGCGTTGGTTATTGGGTTGGGCATGATTGTCATGAATTTTTTCCTCTGACTTTGCAGCACTATCTTCCTGACAAGGGCACCATGGGGGAAGTCGTTCATTACACTGTTCTTCTCCTTTGTATTCGTCTGGCCGTGCTTGGTTTCCCATGGTCCAGATCATCTGACGTAGACCTTCGATTGATGTATTGACTTCATCACGAGGGATTGCTTCCTTGTCTCCACGGGTCCTATCTTCTTCGTCTAGATGAGCCATTGGAGGTACTTTGAGTCAGGAAAAAACCTAGCTTCAATACCAACTTATGGAGTGAGATATAACACGTCGGAATCTACCAGAAAAATTGAGTAAACCTCAAATATTTTGATTGAAAATAAAATGAATAATTCAGGATGCTCCAATGCATTCTTTTTATACAAGAGAAATCTAAAACTTGCTTGGAAAGCTAATGAGAAACCTAGACTTGCTAGGAAAGCTAATTAGAAAACAAAAAGGAAAATAATAAAAGTTTCCCAAAATATTCTAAAAACTTTGACGCTAAAAAGTCAAAGTAAACGATAGAACTTGGCTAAATTAGCTAATACATAAAAACAAAGTAGTGAGTTGCACTTGTCACACCGTTCTGTTCGAAACGTTAGGTCATGTGCCCAATTCTGAGCTCGGAGCCCATACTTGCTCATATTGGGTTGTCACATCCTAGGATTGGCTCCGCCGTAGCACGATATTGTCCGCTTTGGGCCCCCCTCTCTTCCCTTACGGTTTTGTTTCTAGGAGCTCACGAGAAACTTCCCAGTGGGTCACCCATCTTGAGATTTCTCTAGCCCCAACTCGCTTAACTTCGGGGTTCCCACGATTCCGAAGCCAGTGAGCTCCCAAAAGGCCTCGTGCTAGATGGTGGTGGGCATGTACATATAAGGCACATCACCCCCTCTCCGTTGGTCGATGTGGGATGTTACAATCCACCCCTCTTAGGGGCCCGACGTCCTCGTCGGCACACTCGCACCACAAGGTGGTGTGGCTCTGATACCAAATTGTCACATCCCAGGATCGGCTTCGCCGTAGCACGATATTGTCCGCTTTAGGCCCCCCTTTCTGCTCTCACGGTTTTGTTTCTAAGAGCTCACGAGCAACTTCCCAGTGGGTCACCCATCTTGGGATTGCTCTAGCCCCAACTCGCTTAACTTCGGAGTTCCCACGACTCCGAAGCCAGTGAGCTCCCAAAAGGCCTCGTGCTAGATGGAGGTGGGCATGTACATATAAGACACATCACCCCCTCTCCGTTGATCGATGTGGGATGTTACAGGACTTTGCTGTCGCGACGACGTGCGTGCTTGTCTAGATATAGCTCGATCAACTCGGCCATGTGTTCTACATCATTTTGAATAAGGTCAGTGTCATGCCCCGGACCCAGGGGTCGGTGAAAACCCTGAGCCCGGTGGGTGAGGAAATAAAAACTAAAATAAAATAAAAAGATGCTTAAATATAAAATTAAGTTTTCTTATAAAAATAGCTCCCAAAATGTTACAACTTTACAATTAATAAGTAAAACTCTATTTCTCTCATCTAATTCAGCCTCAACTGGTTTAGTCCTTGTCTTGCCCACTAATTCATCTGAAAAATTAAACAGGATGAGGGATGAGCAACCACTACTCAATAGGGATATGAGACCTTACCACGGTAGATTGAGATAAGTAAATTAAGTGACATGTAATCACACAGCCAAATATCACATTAATAACAACAACAACAACAACAACAACAACAACAACAACAACAACAACAACAACAATAATAATAATAATAATAATTTATGAATGCTCTTCATCTACTCCTGTTAATTCATATAACTGGACAAGTAGACCTGCACGTCCCATACCATACTTATACCAGTTGGTCCTGAATGCCCATTTATATGACTAACACCCATCTTAATCATCCCATAATTCCCATTTTGTTAGTCATCTTATCTAACTCCCTTTCGCTAGTCCCGAATCACCCAATAAAAACCATGTGCACTGTGGGATCCCTGAGACCTGGTACCTGCCAAGAGTTAGACTCAACTACACAAAAGACTATTTCCATTACCCTATTTTCCGTCATTATTTTCTCAATCCAACAACTCCAACCATAATTATGCATATAATCATATAATCATATAATCATATCACGCATAATATAGTGCTCACGAAATTTAATTAAATCAATCTCTGTAAAAGATCACCAAGAAACCCCTACCTCCATTCCAAAGCATAATCCAAGTTAAAAAATACAAGGTATTCCTATATCTCTTCCAAGAATTTCATCATCATCATCATCTCTCTCTCTCTCTCTCTCTCTCTCTCTCTCTCTCTCTCTCTCTCTCTCTCTCTAATTTCTCTTGTTTTGAAACTATAAGGTTATGCTCCTATTTATAGTGGTTATAGGGATAGGATAAACTTCAATATTAAAAGGATAAGAACATCTAAGTTTATCCAAAAGATAAATATCCTAACAAGATAAGATCATCCAAGTTTATCTAAAAGATAAATATCTTAAAAAGATAATATATTCCAAGTTTATCCAAAGGATAAATATCTTCTTTTATCTATTTAAAATATGAGTCTTCACAGTCACTTCCATTGTTTTGTTTCCCATCACGACATTGTTCTTTCCTGGGTTGATCAGGCAAGATTCATAAGAAATAACCGTGGATGTATTGAGGCAATGTTTTCTAGAAAAAAAAATATTGACGTAATGGAAGTCCAATTTCCAATCTGGATTTTTGCCTATAAAAAAGAAGGAAAACCTTGATATATATATATATATATTTGTCATTCTCTAGGGGGAGTATTATATTAAGTTGTCTCAAGATTGTCTCCTACATAATTCGAACATGCACTTGAGGGGGGAAAAGGGAGAGTTTGACCTACTTTTCCACTGTGGTGTCACCCATGTGCATAAAATGGGTAGTTGGTTTCCATACAAATAGGATTTATTATCTGATTTTGTTTTTAATTTTACATTTTTAAAAATATGAAAAAGTCAAAATTTACCATATTATCCTAATTTAATTAATAATTTCAATTCTAATTTCAATGCACCCGAGAGGTCCTGCGTTTGAATCCCCCCACCCCACCAATATTGCTTCTATTAAAAAAACATCATGTTAAATAAAAATGGTTAAATACTAATCCAAGTCATGCTTCATGATTTCGACCCAAAAAAAAAGGTCATGCTTGATGATGTGCTTATAGCCAATTTACATTTCCCTTATATTGTCCATTCTTATGGAATAAAGGTGTAATGACAATGAATGTGAGATTAATTAATCTTGTTTACAATTGGCTTTTTTTGTTTTTCTCTCTGTATCTTGAATTGTTTTTTGTCCTTTGATTACATTCTTTGGTTGAAGATTTTCTTGTTCTTAGAGGAAAGAAGTAGATATTATTTTTACAACCACTGCTGTGGTGGGCTGTAGCTCGAAAGCTTTGAAGAAAAAAAGATTACCTATGTCTATATGGCCCACTAAAGTTTGCTGCATTTTGCTTTGATCCAATCCTCCAATCAAATTGACTGAATCATGCAATTGCTTAGCAGCCTTGGTTTTGTTTTGTTTTTTTTGTTTTTTTTTCCCTCGAAGCATGCAGCCTTTTGCTTTTTTAATTTTTTTGGGCAAAGTTAATAATCCTTTTTTCCTTCAAAATAAAAGGGAAAGCTTCTTAATATTGTAGTCAATAAAAACCCTCCCAAGTCTTTCAACCCATAATTACAAACGACAGTTGGTAATTAAAGCTCACAAGAGGGAAGATGCTTTTAAAAACGGAACAGTAACTTAATTATATTCTTCTTAGGTTCACAACTAATATAAATGTGAAACTTAATTATTTATATTTTTTCACTTTGCATTTGTCTTATTTGGTTGATGCCAAGAAGTAAGAAACTTGAATAGGTACACTTTCAATTATATTGTTGAACACATTAATTTTGATAATGTGTATTTTTTTTTGTTACATTTAATATGTATTTGTCTTATAAAGTTTATTGAAAATTAGTCAATGGAAAAAAGAAAAGAAAAAGATCATTAGAGTTTAAGCTAAAAATTTTAGCTACCCCATCCATCCAAAAATTTCTGGTTTTGCCCTTGGTTTTTAGCTTAAAAAGATAAAGGAAAAGCAATTTTATTTTTTTAGGCCATAGGGTCTATTTCAGTTTTTCTGTTTGGGATTTGTGGGCGATAGGAAGGAGAGTGTTTCCGTGGCACTAGGAGAGTTTTTGTTTTTGGGTTGAAGAAGAATGACAGTTCAATGTTTGTAATGTTTTTTTATTTAATTTTTATTTATTACCATGTAGGTCATTATGTGTTAATTTCTTAACCTTCGGATTAAACTGTAATCATATGGCAGACTCACATGAAAAGCCAAGCAAATCTAAGCCGAGAAAATCAAAGTAAAAGATCCAGATCCAAATAGAAAAAGAACCAATTTTAACAAAAAATAGTATATTTAATTTTATAATTAGGGTAGGTTGTTCATAAACAACCATAATAAATGCAATTCTCATGGCATGAGAAATGCATACCCAATGAGGGAAAAATTATAGAATGGTATCGTACTACCACATCAGCTGGTGATATTCCCACTCAAAATATGGCATATGTCTTAATTTTTTAACAACCCAAACTTTATTTTACAGCTGGACTTATAAAACCACTGAAATAAAATTAGAAAAATAAAAAAAAACTTAAAAGGAAAAAAAGGAAAAGAGAATATCTCAGCAACCCAACTCCTACCCCCATGCCACCTAGATCTTCCTCTTCCTCTGCTTGTGAGTAATCCAAATCCCCATAGCCCAATAAATTGTTGCAACTAGGAAACTTCATCATCGTTGTCAATGATAAAGCATGATTGACGGCCCCTCAAGACTCAAGTTGGGGTGTATCGTTCGTGAGACTAAGGGCGTTGGGGGGTTTTGTGGATTTTGTTAGGGTTGATGTGTAGCCTCTTTGTGATGCACCCACCTCCCATCCCAATCTTCTTCGCAAATCACATCTACTAGGGAGACGTTCATCAACTAGAAAACATGTATGGATCTAGAGGATAGTCACTGAAAGGTTGAGAAAGTTAAAGAGGGCAAGAGAGAGAGAGATGGAGGGAGATGTTGGAAAAACAACAATTAATGACTAATTAAAACAATATATAAACAGAATTTATAACAAACTGTAATACAAAATACAGTATATAAACAATAAATGAAACTGACTTGGATTCGAGATAGAGGCT